TGGTTTGTACAAAAGGGTTTTTTTTCATTACTGGTGTAGATTCTGCGTCATCAATTTCTATAATTGGATTTCACTATTTTAAATTTTAGATACCATCTTAACGCAGTAGATGAGTGTACAATTACTCTCCTTGCTTATAATCTTTCCATTCCCAAAACGTATTCTCTTTGCAGGTTAAAGACTAATTGTACCAGATCTCCAAAACCTTTCCGCTTTTTTCTGCTGTGGAAATTCTGGTATCTTTCTCTTTGAATATAGAACAGGGCATAGAAGTGACTGAGAGAAGGGAAAGGAAGACTGCAGAGTAGTGAAATTCCCTCCATCCTCTCCACTTCCAAGTTGGAGCATACTTGAAATCAGTGCTTCCTCTTAACCATTTCATTCGCAGCAGTAGACAGCTTTCATATCCCAGAGAACATCTTGTTCACTAGAGGGCACAGGCAGCAGAAGATCCATAATAGCTGCCTTCCTGAGAGCAGGAAAGCCTGGCACTGACAGGTAGCTGAACAGTTCAAACCACATCAGCTTTGGTTTTGTGATATGAAATGTATGCATTGCAAGGTTATTTAGTATGCTAGTTTACTCTCTCATTTTTAAAATACCTTTATATTTTAATTTCGATTGATTTTTGAAGTTTAAAAGCAGACCTTTCTCTAGATATAGATGTTTTTCTGAACATGTTTCCTGAAAGAAGAGGAAAATGTGTCACCAAATACAACCAGAGATCTAGTATTTAAAAGAGATATACTCAAAGAATTAATTTTTTGCTTGATTTAAAAAGGGAATAATGCTTATCTAATAAGAATAAAAACCTTAAACTGTAGTTAGTTTTAAGTTTGCTCCAAGTACTTTGCTTATCCTATAACAACATATTCATGGTAGTTTTTATATGAGCACAGAGATTTCTTTTGGCACAGATACATAATCAAGAAGATCTATTTTCCGCTTAATCAAACCAAAATAATCTTCCAGTGCTATGTTAGGATCTGGCCTGTGGCATGAATGAGAAAGTGGTATAGCAAAATGTCACAATATTGATTGCAATTATTAACTTTAAGGAAGGGTCATATAAGATGTCTCGGGCTCTGAACTCAGTGGTGTGAACGGTTCCTGATGAGATTAGCGATAAAGATGTCAAGACAGCAAGAGCTCTGAGATGATGCAGTGTGCTTACGGGCCACTGTTCAGCAAATGGGTTTGGAAATCGTCTGATAGTAACCATTGCATAGGGCTGGCAGTTCCTTTTTGGGTAGAATACAGTTCGGAAGAAAGGATGAGATTATTAAATTCTTTCACATCGTGGACGTAAAGAGAGGATTGGCATTCAGTTTTGAGGAAGGTTCAGTAAACTTGAAAGACAAATGCTTTTCATGCGTTCTTATTATGGCAGGAAAATAAATTATTCTAGGGATATGAGGAGAACTAGAGCTTTAAGACATGCAGAAAACTTATGTTGTGTGCATGATGATGTATTTGTGATTGAGTTAATCTCAATTTAAAATGTTGAAATTGTCAGTAAGAATTAAATATTCTTAAATAGGAGTGGGAAGGAAAAATGGAAATGATTACATTTAAAGAATTAGGAATAGTTCTTAAGAATTCTGTGGTATTTTTAGAACACCTGAATCTGACTGGCATTCTGTCTGTAAGACATGCAGCTAGGACTTGATGTCAGCCTTGGCAAATCTGTCATACAGACCGTACTTTCTGCAGCACAAACTGTCTTTAAAATTGATTAAGAACAGTCAAATAACGGAGGAACAATTTTAAAACACAGCGTTAACGAAGTCTGACAGTAAACAAGAGTTTCTTTCATAGCACCCTCCCGTTTAATTCCCCGCTGAAGGAGGCTCTGCTAAGGCTCTGCAGACAGACCCGTGCTGGGCGCTTGTGTGGCTGCAGAGCAGCACTTGCAGCAGGATTGCCGAGGAGCCGAGCGAGTCAGACCAGCGGCGTGGGCTGAGCCCTGCAGAGGCCAGCGCTCAAACTGGGAGATCTGCTCCCAGATCCTGTGTACGTGCAACCCCGAGAGACTCGTCTGGTTTTGCTAATTCGACTGTGGACTTTGAAATATGCTGTTCAGACTGTCTCTCTTGATAATTACGAACAAACATAATCTCAACAGTCTTGCAGATAGTAAAATGGTTTCTGTAGTTTCAATGTGGTTTTTTTACTGACAGTTGGTAGAAGCAGCTTATTAAACTGCGTAAGCAATTGGCATGCTGTGCAAACTTCAGTTTTACTCTCTGAATCTTAAAAGCATTAGATGTTTCTTCCAATTTAATATCTGCATAATGGATATGGATGGCAGGATATGCTGCTGCCAGGCAGCTCTCAGCAGCCTCCAACAGGCTAGCATAGACTTCCAGAGCAATGGCGTTTTTCCACTCACGTTATCCATCTTGTGCCAAATATGCTGAGCCTCAGTTTTTGCACAAGGCACTAATACAAATTGTGCTTTGGTCCTGTTTTACCCCATTTCTGCAGGCCATGGTTTTAGGCTCGGGGGTGGGACAGGCAGTGTGTGAATGCCATGTGACTCACCTCGCCTCTACTCCCCTGCTCTCCTTGCTGGCTCTTGTCCTGCTGTAACAGTATGGCAGAGGAGTCCTCAGCCTGCCTCTCCCTCTCTCTTTCGTTCTCTTTTTTTTTTTTTTTTTTTTTTTTTTTTTTTTATTCTTTCACTAATGTTCCTCCCATTGTAAAGAACAAGATGGAAATTCATTCTTGGGTCATTGCTGCTGATTTCCTTCAGTCAGGGAATCAGTAGAAGAGCATCATTATCCCTGAATTTCATACTAGCAGCTGTGGAAGACAAAAACTCCCTTCCTGTTCATTCCGGGTATGGTAATTCTTTAGCCTCCTGTGCAGTGTATGTGCAGTCCATTTTTTGGCAGGTATTCTATACGTACATTGCATTATTTCCTCTCCTACTTTGCTGCCTTCTCCTCTCTTCCCCCTTGGGTTACTCTCTGGAAATGTGTTTTCAGCTCTTGTACCTGCTTGCTGACACTGCACTTTGATTTGCATGTTAACATGGTTGATCTTTTCAGAAAGCAATTTTAAATGATGGTTCAGTTATTACATATACTGTATCAGCAAGCTGATAGACATAGGACATTTAAAACTGTGAAATATCTGAATTAGGGAAATGCCTTCTACACTTCTATTATTTTATCCTTGTTTCAGAAGGGAACAAACAATTTACAGCTTTTAGGCTTTGACAGCTTTTAGCACTTCACTGGATGCAGGGTAAAATAGTTCCTTCAATCTGCTGTCCTTTACTAACTCCCTGAATTTTCAGCGAGATTGGGCCTATGTTTGTCTTGTCAGAGCTGAGCAGGCATCCTCAGCCAGGGCTGTGGGTTTTGTAGAAACCAGGCAGTCCTTTTTCTGTACCTTCAAATTGCTGAATTCAGTCTTTTGCTGAAAGGTCAGTCATGTGAGCTCACACGTTTTGACATTATGAAACAGGGATGGGGGTTTGTTGCTTGTGGGTTTTATTTGTTCATTTATTTTTAAAGTTCTAGTTTTCAAATCTGGCAATTTGGGAACCTGCCCTTTTTTGTTATCTTCTTCTGGGCTCGAGGTACACACTCACTGTGTGAAGGCATTGTGCTGTTTTAGCTCGTCATAAGCAAGATACTTAAAATCATAAGTCTACTGTATATCCACAAAATGAAGAAAACAGATATTTTGTTAGCTCAGAATTTCATAACCATGTGTGAATGAAATTTGAGGGAAAATATTCTTCCAGTTGTAGTAAATAGCTGGATTTTTTGGTTTTGTTTTTCTCCATCTCTGTGTTTAGTGTGGTGTCTGAATACTAATGCTTCAAAACAAATAAAAAAATCAAAGCATTTGGTGTTGTCAAAATGGTTGTGTTATTTTTAACTTTGTTTTCCGTGTAAGTGCAACTTCTTCGGGCAATCCGCTGTCAGCACTTGGCTCTGGTAGAGGTTTCCTGATCATTCCTGTTTCCACCAGAGCTTTCTTGGTTCAGCCTGTCCCATGCCTGTTGACTTCATTGTCCTCTTCCAAAAACAGTCTTGTTGTGTAATTGCTTGGGAGCATGCATGTGCTCTTAATCAAGGGGGCTTAGGTATATAGCTAAATTTTTTTAAAACTGTCCAAATTTGGGGGTGGATAGAGTGTAGGTAAAAATGTCCATTTTTGCTCATGCCTGCAGAAGGTAAAAAAACTCATACAGTGTTTTCACTGTTGTCCACACTAAAGTATAATATGAATATACATTGTGAGCCTTTATTATCCATGCAGATAACATGTATCTTATGCTGCAAGTCACCTGCTGTGCTCTTAAATCCTGTTACTGTCTGAAGATGCACAATAGCTACCAGGAGAAGAAACCTTTTTTTAAAATAATTTCAAACTTTATTGAAAGCTAAAATGTAATTGGAAGCCCCTAAGATCTATGGTATTTTTCTCCCATGGAGGTAGCCCTGGCTGATTCTTTTTCAGGTGACAGTAATACTGAACAGAAGGACCATGCATCCATGCCCTTCCTGATCCCCACTTTGCACTCAAGTTGGCTGTCTCTCACTCAGTTTCAGTGCCTGGTACAAAATGACATGCCTATTGCCTTGAGGTCAGCTGGGAGGCTTCAACCCACAGTTCTTTTTTGTCACTGTTTAGGAGTGATGTGTGTTTGAAGGAGTCAAAGCATGTGGAATCATGTTAATAAATATGTTAATGAGGTCTTGCAGTGGTTTGTGAATAGGCTGAATTTTGGTTAGTGGGTTTCTACAAGAACAGTGAGGTCACCTTTCTGGGCTGTAATACTCCTCTGTGGCCAATTTTACACTGACAATTTTATTAAATAACATCAATACTTAAAATTCCAAAAAGAGAAATCCTACTAAGCTTCTGAGCAGTTTCTTATTTACACTATATAAATATATCTTTAGGTGTTATTATTTTCTCTAGTATGTGCAGCTAAATAACTGTCATAATTTCTGTTTATGATTTTGTTTATCTGGTAGAAAAGAGTGGTGGAACAGCTTCGAAAGAATTTGATAGTGAAGCAGGAACAGCCAGACAGTAAATTTCAAATACAGCCATTGGCACAGTCAGAAAACAAACTACAGACACCACAGCCACAACCACTACAACAGCTACAGCAACATCACCATCAACAGCAGCAACAGTCCACGGCACCCTCTCCAAACGTGATAGGATCACAGGTAAAAAGCTACAGTTTTTCTTTCTGAAGGTGAAGCTCACTGAAAATTAAAAAAAGGAAAAGTGCAGAGAGAAAACTGCAAACTTTCACTTATGCCTGCTAGTGTACCAGTATGAATTTCCTCTTCTGTGCTTATGCAGATATGTGTTTTTCTGGGTTTTTTTGGCAAAAATCTCCAATCTGAGTTTAAAAAATGATGTATTGTTTAAAAGTTGAATCATAACAGAAAAGAAGGGTGGCAATATCACATTTCTTAAAAATAAGTGAAAGTTTAGCAAATGAGCCTGTCTTTTCTCTAGGTACAATAATGAGTCTGACCATACCTAGTAGCTCTCAAGAAACAGTAAATACTTCACACACACTGTAAAAGGTATATGATTAAAATCCTTTATTTTTAAATGACTAACAAAATGCCCTCTACAAATGTGAACAAATGCAAGAGAACAGTTCGTGCTTCTTTCTGCTTGGTTCTTTTTAAACAGATAAGTCATACCAAATAATATCTGAATTTTCAAGGATTTGTCTAGAAGTATTCAGTGTCAATTTTAGAGTTCAAATTTTAGAAAATAGGGTTTCTATTGGGAAGGTGAACTGAATTTCAGTACAGTATAGGATTAGAGATGTAATCCCAGAACTCAACAGAGAAAGTGTTTAAGAGGGGAATTTCAAGTTTTTCCTGTTCAGATATTTGAATTCACAAAAGTGTGATAATAAAACAGCTAGAAAATGTAGGGAGGTGTTCTGTAAAAAGAAGTGTATATGAAGTGTTTTTTTCCTGTTGATGCAATCTTAAGAGCTCATATTTACCTGAATAGGCAGATGGCAGAAATCACCCATGAAGTTTGTTTATGCACATTGCAGTGAATCACACCCACAGCTTTGACCACTTGTAATTCTCATCTTCCCTTTTTCTGAAAGCAGAGAAGAGAGAAATGGTTGGGCTGTTAGTTCTCTTGTTAACTCCGCGAGTGGTTTGGATGTGTTCTAAAATGCATTTGTGAAGCTTAGCTAATTGTATTTTTGAGAAAAGTGTGTTGAAGAAATGAAGCAAACCTAACTAAGGAAAATGCATTTTGAGCAGCAGCATTAATATCAAAGCTAAAGTGGAACAAAGAAGCAAATATTACTGTGTCCTAAAGTATTTATAGGCAAACAATGGATCACTGTTGTATCAGTGATCTCTGTTTCTCAGTCAAGTAACATGAGAGCAAACACAGTTTCATGTGTTTCTCAGTATTCCACACTTCACATTCATTCATTAACTTCCAGGTCATTTCCTGGGTTGTAAAAATTGAGCTTTTGTTCAAAGTTAAAGAGCCCTCTAGCGAAACAGTCAAAAAACTGCTACACTCTTCTGACTACCACTGGTAAAGTAGTACTTGGAAAGTAGTTAGAAATTGGAAGGCAGGCTATCCTGCCCCTTGGATAAATAAGCCAGCTTTTATCCTTAACACTTTTTTTGTTTTGATGTATGTTGTTAAAATAGTGAAGTGTCCTCACTTGTTTCTGCATATTTTGCATCTAAGGTTGTGCCTCTGTCTTATGGCAAAGAAAAGTCAGATATTTTGTCTCTCTATGAAGTTTGTTCATGCTTGCTTTTGTAAATAACACATTTTTCTAGGCTGTGTCAGTACAGAGAATGCTTTTGGTGATTGTTTTCAGAGTAATCAAATTTAGGACTCAAGGTATATATGCCATAATTAACAGTGACATTTTAATATACATAATACATCCAGTGAGAACATATTTTAAAATTTTCATAAGCAACAAGCATGCTAAAAGGTCATATTATTGCAATATTATGTGCAATAATGCAGAATTACTATGAATGCCACTTCACTATAAATTAATGCATTGACTACTTTTTAGAATAAGCAATCTAATTAATGCTCAGCAAAGTAACAGGGATATTCAAACTCTGTGATCTGACTGAAACCGTACTCTGAGTACTTGCAGAGTTAATAGAACCCCTTGGAAGAGTCACAGTCTTGTATTACATGATTGATTACACCTTTCTTTAAAATGTTTATGGTTGAATGTAATGCTTGTGAAAATGATACCACGTTACATCTCATTGGAAAAGCTTGAATAATGTTACTGCATTATGGGAATGGAGCCTTTTGCTTTGGGGAAGGTGCAGCAGAGGTCGGTAAGCTCGTTAGATCTCAGATAAAAAGTTAAGAAAATTGTGTTGCAACAAGGAAAATTTAATTATGTCTGGATTTTTCATGAATGTATGAAACTGAAGCATAAATTATCCTTTGATTTGGCATTATACAGTGAATGTTTTCACACTTGTGCATAATTAACAGTTAGGGGACATAGTTTAATATGAAATTAGAGTTGTGAAGGTAAACTGTGTTTTTGTTTAAGGGAACAGTATTGGTGAAATACTAAATAATTCAACTGGAAATATTCTTTTATTAGAAAAAAAGATAAAGGTCTTGTATGATAAAGTCAAGTAGTCTAAATCAGGCATGTTCAGAACACAAAGACTGCCTGATCCCTTTTCCATTTTTTCCTCTGTAGAACATAGAGCTGACATCAAGAGGGAATGGTGGTTATTTAGTACTAAGAGCATTTAATAATGTCACTAAATTTGCAGTGCCATTGGTGCAATGGATTTTTTACACCAAAGTGAAAAGAAATAAGATCATTTGCCATTCTGTCAAGTGTCACTTGTCATGAGTTTTCTGTTTGCATTGTGTTCTGGTTTTATATGGAGACTCTCACCTTGTTGCTTTTTGAATGAGATTTGTAATGTCCATTTGTCTTAGCATCTTGAAAGACAGTATATTTTAAAACAAAATTGTGAAATGATAGTTTGTTTCAACTTTGGAATTTTAGGCATGATGTACTGAGGTAGTTCATATAAGTGCTGGTATTGCATGATTCAAAACCACTCTTTTTAAAACATGCTGAGAGTAATCATGGTGTCAAATACCAATATTCCAAAACCAGCCCGTTCCACAGAAGCTAAACTTAATTGCCTGCAGCTGGGCAGACTAACAGCTCTTACAGCTCCTACAACTTCAGGACAACCCTACTGGTACTCTTAGATAAGAAAATTCAGTGCAAGGTAACTGTACATAGCGCTAAAGCTGAGACTGGGATGCCCAAAATAAAAAAAATATAGTTTTTTTTTAGGAAAGCAACTCATGAGTGTTTTTCCCTCCCTTCCTCTGATTGTGAGGATCACTGTAGCTACAGTTTCCATTTGAAAATAGGAGTTTTACTCGGTGAGAAGCTACTTTGCTGTTTTGTTTCATAAACCTCCACCTTATACGTTTGATATTGACAGTACATGTTTGGAAGTAATATGAAACTAAAAGATCCAAAATGCATACGCCACTGATAACACTTAATTGTAATTTTTTCAGGAATTTGTTTTTGTAATTATTTCAGGAATTTGTTCAATCTGCAATGCTGCAGGTGATTAAAACAGAGCAGCCAGGTGCCTCAAATGAGAATGCTTCTAGCTATCCAGTTTTCAGAGGCGTAAGATAATGTTCTTGTCTGAACAGCAGGTAGATAGGCTCAGAGCTGCCTTTTCTTTCTCATGCTGTCTATTGTTTCTGACTAACCAACCCACGTCCTGTCTGATACAGAGTGTCTCTGTCTCTTACAGTGTATTTTCTGTTTCCCTTAGAAAACTGTAACTACAGCTTCTATGATCACCACTAAGACACTACCTCTCGTCTTGAAAGCAGCAACTGCGACCATGCCTGCCTCTGTTGTGGGTCAGAGACCTACCATTGCCATGGTTACTGCTATCAACAACAATCAGAAAGCAGTCCTCAGCACTGATGCGCAGAATGCACCAGTCAACCTCCAGACAACAAATAAGGTCACTGGGCCAGGAGCTGAGGCAGTCCAAATAGTGACAAAAAACACAGTAACTTTGGTAAGCGTTTCATGTGTTTGCCCTGCAGATATGTGTGGGTTTGGTTAGCAAGAGGGCTATTGGAAAAGAATAAACAGTCAGGGTTTCTCACAGAAAGGAGGATAGTAGGGACATGGTGTGAGTCTTCACTAGCTGGCATTGCTAAAGTGATAGTCTATAGGAAAAACATCTTCTCTCCATGTGAGTTTTGATTATTGTTTTGCTTTATAGAATTAAATCAGTGCTATCATCACCTCTGTGTAAAGTTTCCCCTGTTAGTAACTGTAGTCATGGGGCAGTAGTGATTGTTTTGCCCTTACAGAATCTGTATGGCTGTGTTCTGCAGAATTCCTGCTCTTTTCCTAGCCAAAGGAGATGTCAGACTTTCTTCATTTGATCAGTTTGGGTCTTTGTCTTAGGGTTTTTTGAGTTAATCTCTTTCTCCCTTTGCGTGATAAAGTCTCTGGTGTTAGATACGAACCTTAGGTTTGCCCACTACCATTTCTTCACTCAGCATGTTTTCAAACGCATAAACAGATACTGTTTCTTTAAAAACATGTATTTTGGGAATACAAATTTTGTGCTTTGGCTACATCACATAGTCTTTTCCAGAATAGTTGTCCACTTAGAAATAAAAGAACCGGTGTTCCAGAATTGGATTATATAGGCTTCTTGGTCTGGAAACCAGGCATTATGTAACAACATGACAGGGAAATTTTACTTCAGAAGTAAAGGCTATGGCTTTATTAAATGTAGATCAAATTTAGTCATATTTATTAAAATACAGTTTAATGCAGATGGAAGTAATTTTGCTTCCTAATGAGGCATATGTTTGTGATCAGAATAGAGATTATTTGAGTGGAGTTTTTTCTACTGTTCTCTCTTCCTGTGTCATCCCTCGCTCCACTGTCATCTGTTCTTTGTGTCTGTGTTTCATTTCCTTGCTGAATAACTTGGATTTGAGGAGGTAATTCTGTTTTAATACTAGTCCGTGATTTATGTTTGTGTAGCAAATTTCATCAAAACTATCAGAATATTTTCCCGAGTACTAATTAATCAGTACAAGACCTTTTTGAAGAAAATTGCAATCTTATGTGCATGGACAGAAACATAGGAGGGTATACAATAACATTGACATTAATTTCAGAGAATCTCCCCAGGTACTCATGGTAGCTGGTAGTGCTGTTCAGTGGTTAATCATGTGGCAGCTCCATGCAGCTGATTTCAGTTACACATTCAGGGAAGTACTTAGGTTTCCTTAAAATCAGATCTTAATTGTTTCAAATGAATGGCCTAGTTTTGAAAATTTCAAGTTGTTTATTTAGAGCCCCTCATAGTGTCATTAATATTGCTAGAAGAGTTGTAACTTCCAGATCTTTGCTATTTGCATGAGGTGTTCTCTCATTCTTCTGTGTGCCATTCCCTCTGAAAAAACCATACTTCATATAGCTGTACATCAAAGTGTTGCTGTTTTCTGTCTGTTGTAATGTCATTTTTTAACGATTAAAACAAATACGAGTTTTTACTATCACCAAATGAAATGGTTTTAGGTTGCAGAGCACAGTAGTTAGTACAGTTGTACTAAAAGGAAATATGCCTGAAATTTATGAAGCAAGGTGTGTAGGATCTAATGAGGAACTTCTTGCTATGAAAAAATATTTACAGAGTGAAAACTGAGGTCTGAAAGTTCATTCAGGATGTTGAATTTGGTGAAAAACTTAAAAGCTAAATTTTCCTCTTACCTCCTACTGAGCTTTCTCATGTTCTTATAGCAGGTTCAGGCTACGCCTCAGCCCATAAAAGTGCCGCAGTTCATCCCTCCTCCCAGACTTACTCCTCGTCCAAACTTTCTTCCACAGGTGAGTATACAGAGAACAAACAGTAGGAGGAACTTAATTATAGCATGGATAGAAGAGGCTTTTGATGAACATTGTGTGGTGTTTATTGGTGATGTGCTGGAGAAGACAATTCATCCTCAACAGGTTTGCAGATGATAACGAATTTGAAGGCACAGTCAATATTCTTCAGGGCAGTGCTGGCATATAGACAGCCCTAGGCAGGATAAAGGAAGGGGCCAGCAGAAATTTCTTGAGCCTCAGCATGAAAAAAGGCAAAGTCTTGTACCTGGAATGGACTAACCCCCTGCACAGGTACAGGCTGGAGGCTGACTGACTGAGGAGCTGCACGGCTTAAAAGGTCTTGGTTGACAGTGGTATGCCCTAACAGCAAAGAAACCTACCAGCATATTGACCTGTACCAACAGGATTACAGCCAGTAGATTCAGGGAAAAGATTATTCATATTTCCCTCAGCAATCATACAGATGAGTCCAATAAACACCCTGCAGTTTTGGAATCCCTTGTTGATAAATATGAATGGAACATGGGAAGAAAGGCCACTAAGATAGCTTGGAGGGGGCAGGAATATATGACCTGTAAGGAGAGGCTGAGGAATCTGGGCTTTTCAAATTTGGAGAAGAGGGTTTGGAGGCACCCTAGCAGCAGTGTTACTTCCAGTACCAGCAAGGAAATAAACGAAGCTGGAGACATAGGTGCTTGGCAGGACCATTAGAGGCAAAGCTCATAAATTGGAACAGAGTTTTAGACTGCATATAAGGAAACACTTCTCTCCTTGAGGACAATTAGGAGCAAAAGAGGCTTACCAGACATGTTGTGAAAGCTCTATCCTTGAAATTTTACAAGACTTATCTGGACAAAGCCTTGAGCTACCCAACCTGCATTTAGTGATGGCCCTGCTCTGAGCAGGAGGTCAAATTAGAGACTTCCTTAGCCGCCCTCCAGCCTGTATGAGATTGTAGTTATGAAATTTTCATATGATGATTAAATATGATCTTGTTTGCAATAAATGAAATGAATCCATGGAATAGGGTTCCAAATAGGGAATTAAAATTGAAACATCACCCAAGGCCTTAAATTGCTCTAATTGTTGCTTGCTGCTCATGAGCGAAAAAATGAAAAATGAGATGTCTCTAAATTATTCCCAAGTATTTCTGTATTGCAAGGGAGTGACCTCTGTTTTCAGCTGGGTAGTAAAAGTTGTGGTTTACTTTTTTTCTTCCATGATTTGAGGAGGACACAGCTTGCTTCTTTATGTAAAAAAAAATAAATCTTAATTTGTATGAAATATATGGTGCTGTGAAAAAAACTCTAAATCTTTTGCGAAGTGAGAAAGGAAAGTAAAGGCTGGTATCTGATTAAGATTTGGGTATAGTGAGATCTGTTGAAATGTGACCTAGTTTTTCATGGTAAAATGCTTTATGTAGTATTGCAGGTGGATAGGACAATAGGAATCAAGTAAGGAAAAAAAACCACTTTATTTTTAAAATAATGTGCTCTGCTTCTGTACTCTGTTATGATATTTTAAATCCATTGTTAAGTACAAACTTAACAGTGACAAGAAATAAGCAAATATTGGTGATGGAGTTTTGGAAGATTCTTGTGGCTCTTTTCTTTCTTGTGAAAGAACAGAAATGATTGCATTTACCTGTACCTTCAGCACTTTCAGTAAGGGATTAATATATAATCTCATCACTTTTTTTGCTTATCAAGATTGGTTGTACAGGTATCTCTATATAGAGAGTTGACAGATAACAGGTATTTGCTGAAAAAAATAATTATTTGTTTCAGGGCACAGCAACTGTTCATAACTTCTTGGAAGTTCATTACAAACCCTGAAGCACTTTTAACATGAGCGCTTCAACTGTGCCTGTAAATATCACATGGATTTTTTTGGCATGTAAAACCAAGATGTTAATTTAGATATAGATAAGGCATTTGGCAATAAACATTCTGTATAAGTGTCTGTGCATCCAAATACCATTTCAGGGATGGTGACTATATATGCAAATGTTATGGATGGGTTTTTTAAGGGATTTATGTAAGTAGGCTTGAAAATGTGGTGCTTTTTTCTCCTAACATACTTGGGACAGAATGCTAAAAATTACATTATCTAAAAAAAAATCAAGCAGCCTCCTGTACATTACACAGGATGAATTGAAAGACTTAGTTAAAAGTTGATCTGAAATACTGAAATACAAATCTCTCTTTTTTTTTTCTCTTTTTCTTATTTTATTTTTGTAGGTTCGACCTAAACCAGTTGCCCAAAATAACATTCCTATTGCCCCTGCACCTCCTCCAATGCTTGCAGCTCCTCAGCTTATTCAGAGGCCTGTGATGTTGACAACAAAGTTCACACCCACCTCTTTACCCAACTCTCAGAACTCCATACATCCAGTTCGTGTAGTTAATGGGCAGACAGCAACCATAGCCAAAACTTTCCCTATGGCACAGCTCACCAGCATCGTGATAGCAGCACCGGGTACCAGGCTTGCTGGACCTCAGACTGTACAGATCAGCAAACCAAACATTGAAAAACAGGTACAGGTAAAGTGTCTACTAATGCAAGGTACTGGGTTTATTGCTTTACTGTGCAGGTTTGGAGAGCATGGCAACCAGGGAGAAGTTTTTAGTGGATACTGGAGATATTCGTGTTCCAATGGCAGCACTTGCAGCTCTTGGGATAGAAGTTACCATTTCCTTTAATATGGGCCATTGGCACCTTTTTCTCCTGCTTCAGTGTTTTTATGCTCCCTCTACTGTTTATATGTCAGTAGTTCATAAACAGGCTACATTGCAGGGTTTGACTAGTGTCTTGAAGAACAAATACAAGTACTGAAATCCATCTTCATATCTTCATAATCCATCTTCACCCTTTTGTTTTTCAAAGGGTGGTTATGTGAAAGGCAAAAATTGCACAAAATTGTAGGGATATTTAATAGGATAAATGTAGCCATTTCTTCCGTGATCCCTTGATCTTGCAGTCTTGTGATTGGAGGCAAAATAGTCTCACTCAGCTTCTGAAGTCTGATATTTCCCTGGGTCTAAATTGGATTGAATGAGTGGAAAGGAGACCTTCAGAAGCAGAGAATTCTGTATGTTTAGATTTAAAGTCTCTCTCCAGAAAAGACATCTGTAAAATAAAAATTACTTAAGTCAGTGTGGATTGCAACTGAGAGTCCTTGCCAGTCTGTTCAAGTAAAGCAATATTCTGATTCACTTTTAACTCTTTCCTATATTGTATGTTAGTAATAGTGTAACTATATTGCATACTATAACACATAATATTTATGTAATTTATATAGATAATAGAAGTATATATGTCACTTATAATGCTTTCCTAGACTAATGTCTTGACTAAGACCTTGAAAGTCCTTCTTTCTACTTTTGAAATACTTATGGAGACTATGAAAATCGTGTGCATGAAAGATGTGCTCATGCTCTGTTCTGCTTGTGAAGTCTCAAGAGTAGGTTCTTGCATATCTCAGGGTTGTTCCATAGGTTACTCAGCAATGTGTGCCCTTTCCATGTGATTTGAAGTTGTGCTTCTACAATATTTGACTTTTGATGCCTGTTCATTATGATGTCAGGAATATTCGTTTGCTCTTTGAATTACTGGCAACTACAGAAAAACACAGAAGAATGATGGTGGTTCAATAACACATGAATTTTTCTGTATAATTTCTCCATATAAAGGGGAAAAGTTTGTCTCTCTGTAGCTTACTATACTCAATTTATAGCCTCAACATCCATGCTGTAGGCTGAGGAATGTTATGCAGAACATTTATGACTTGAGAAAAGAAAAAAGCTTCAGAAACTTTTGAGATTGAGAGGTTCAGAGAGACAGTTTTTGAGCCATCCATAATTCTATAACATACAAAGACTGAGGATTGAGAATTACAAAATGTATGTGCCATGCAGAATGGTTTCCAAGTGGAAGTCTTCATGGGATGAGTTTTCTTGAAGTGTCTGTTATTCCCATACCTTATGGTGATTTCTGTAACAAAGTTAACTCTTAAAATCACTGTTATATCTTGTGTGACTCTGTGGGGTAATGGATTGGTGACAAGGCTGTTTCATTCTTTGTTAAATGAAAATACCTTATTTAACATTCCTCTCACATCAGATTCCTCAATTAAGTCTTTGTTAGTACACGGCCAGCTTTAAATGTTTTTTGTCCTGTATCTGCAAAAGTATTTGCTTAGCTTTAATAGTCAAAGTAGAAAAAGTCATTCTTGTCACTGAATGAGAGAAACATTGTTTTCTTTCAGACTATTAAACCACATGTGGAAACAGAAGAGAAGCAAACAGAAAGTCGTACAGTTACTCCACCTGCTGCACCGAAGCCAAAACGAGAAGAAAATCCACAGGTATCAGAACATAGCCAGAGCTTTCTTTTAAGGAAAAAAAAAAAGGACGCTGTCCTTCAGAATGTATTTTTTCCCTCTCTTCCCTCAAGACTTCTTAACTTTAACATTCCATACGTTCCTGTTGGACAGTGGTAGTTGATTAAAAAAAATTCTAAATAGAGTGCATTGCATTTTTCAGTTCTGGAATGCATTTAGCTTCTAAGTCTTTTGTAAGTTAGAAGATCATCATTTCTCTGTGATGCTTCCTTCAAACAGGGGTTTAGATTACAGAGTTGATTTCCATTCCTTTGAGGTTTTAGACTCTGGAGTTATTCTCAAAGCTGAAGAAATGTCTTTATTTTCCTTTATAAAAAGGAAAACATGTATTTTTCTACTCTGGTGAGCAGGAAGGAAAGAGTGACGTATATTCACATTCTGCTTGTGTTTTGGTCCAGTTTAGTTTGGGGTGAAAGAGAGGACAGAATGACTATTTCTTAAAGCCTTTCTGCCATGAAGAGCTTTGGAACTGATTACAGCTAAATGCTCTGCTACATTTGTTTCCATAGATGGACTCAAATTGATTATTGTGTGAGCTCTAACTGTTGTCAGTTAGATAGCAAAATTCTGATTTTTACATGTCTCCTGCATTTCCTGCATTAAAATTAGAATCCTCTAAGAAACCCATAGCCCTTAGCAAATAGCAAATCTAAGCTAGAGTTAGCTCCTTGTAGTTCACAGTAGATGGAGAATGATCTTAAACTAGCAATATTTTCCTGGCAATTGAACTGTGTTGGTATTTTCTAGTAGTCAGCTCAGTGCTGGAATGGAAGAAACTGCCCTCTTGTTCCCAGCTCTGCCTACTCTGTGATCATGAACAATGGGCATTTCCCAGTATCTCAGTCTAGGGTCCCATCTAGAAAATGGGACTCTTGTCTCTCCTTTTTCAAGAAGTTTGACATACATGAATGAAAAGTGATTTATAGAAGCAGAGTATCACTAAAAATTTGTTTTGTGCTTAGTTACTGGTCAGCTGCCTTCAAAGGCCTGAATGACTCATCCTAACAGTTGTACTTTTCATGATCTTTTTTCTCCCCCTCACAGAAACTTGCCTTCATGGTGTCTCTGGGACTAGTTACTCATGACCACCTGGAAGGTAGGAAAAATGTCTTAGGTTGGTTGTTCAGCTCCATGGTCATTCTGAATTGGAAGTAGGATTTCAAAATATTTCTTGTTTTAAAAGCAGTATTTTCTTGTACAGTATTACCTTAGGTATGTCTGTACTCTTGATCTAACTTAGTTTGTTGTGCATATATTTTTGTTCTTATGACATCAGAACAAAGCTGTTATTTATGCAGCAGAGAGCAGAGGTTGGGAAGAAAGTGTATGCTCTGAGGGTAGAAATCTGTGGCAATACCAATGCCTTCTGGACAGTCCCTCTATCTGCAAAGATACACCATGCATAATTTTACTGTAACCTGTCTAGATTTTTCATTTATTTCATGATTTTATGGGACTGTAATTTGTAATGAATGAATTAATGGATTAAAATTTGATTTATAATTTAAATTTCTAATCCTGTACATTGAACGACAGCCTATCATTACAATCGTCTGCATATTTCTGTACTGTATTTTTAAGAAGCAGCAAGGTTACCAGAGGCTTTTTTTTAGATCCCAGTTATACTGACCATGAGTTTAAAGTGTCTTAGTCGTGGATAACTTGGTGAGAAGAAGGCAATTATTTCATTAGTTACTTGAGCACTGTAATTGTATTCCTTGTCAGCAGTTAGTTTTCAAACCTTCACAAGTTAAAAGTATAACACAGTTCTCTATACCAGGCATGACTGGTGTTCTATAGAATCTTTACAGCTCTTCTCACATGCAAACTGAATTCTGAGGGCTTTGTATAATTTCTGAGATCCATTGTTTTCTAACCTGAATGCTTTGTTTTACAAGAAATCCAAAGTAAGCGACAAGAGAGGAAAAGAAGAACAACAGCAAATCCAGTGTACAGTGGAGCCGTTTTTGAGCCTGAGGTATTAATTTTTTGCTGGGGGAAGCTGATATTTTCCTTCTGATCTTGAGTGTCTTTCTAACATCTTGCTACCTTCTAAACTTTCTCAGTTCTAACCAGAGAGACAAGCTATCATTTATAGTTCAAAAACCCATTGCAATGGCATGACCCTCAGATTTTTATATAGTAAATACATTGGGGTATTCTTCTAGTACGTAGATCTTTTTCTGCCTTCTCGTTTATAAAGCTGTCAAATGGCAATGTGTGTTGGTCTGCTTGCATATCAGCCTGAAGCAGTTCAGTAGAAGCAGTGTAAAAAAGCTAACCTTTCTGAAGGTGTGCTTCAGAAAACACAGAAGCCAGTAATCTCTTAGTACTTACTGTGCTGTTCCTCAGTCACAGCTTTTAGTTATTGCCAGAAATGTTCCCAACAGAAATTGTTCCATTCTTCCCTGCAGCGCAAGAAGAGTACAGTGACGTACCTGAACAGCACAATGCATCCTGGGACACGTAAAAGAGGTGAGGTATACCCACACCTGTCTCCCTGCCCATTTCTTCCACACTGCATTTGTAGCCCCCATGTCAATTTGAAGAGCAAAACAAGGAGGACTCTCCACTACTTCATTTGTCCAGTGAATTTCCATGGTAGGCAAAGACCATGACTTCTAGGGATTAGCATAGCAAGATCTATTAGGCAGCTCAATGTTTCATTTCAGTTTGACTACAAAAAAAAAGCAAACGAAAACCACCCAATTTGCTAGATTTTCACTAGAAATATGTGATGTTTGAACATCATTTAGTGATATGAAGCTGCTGTTAAGATCCCCTTGTTAATGACTAGCTTGTATTGTTATTGACAAGAAGAAAGTGGTTATGGAAAAAGCATTTGTGCCCTGAATAGGAGAGGAAACTTAGTGTGACAAAAGCCTTATTCCCCACTGGGAGTAGGGATGAGTCCTTGAAAAGAACTTACCTTGAGTGAGAAAAACTATCATGCTCATACTAAGCACTTTAACTGCAATCAGAGTGCCACTTGTCCTAAAATGAGAGATGATCTTTCATATAGGCATGCACTATTATTCAGAAGAAATCCTTGTGTAGAACAGGTAAAATTTTAAGACTTAGATTATGGTGAAACAGAACAGCATGGGAGAGAATGTGATGTCATTATTTGTGCATGGCATTGATCACACCTACCTGGCAATCTTTACCTGATTTTGATGATCATAATACCTTCTCTATTCCTAAGTTTTCTGTCTAAAAAAAGTAATCAGATTTAAAAAAAAAAATCAATGCAATCTCCCACCTAGCACTGACCAGTTTCATTATCTTTTGGGTGTTTTTGCTGCCAGATGAAATATTAATTTAATATATTCTCTTCTTGATCCATGTTCTCAGTCCAGCAGACAATGTGGCAGAGCTGACACTTCTGCAGCTATGCTGTTTTTAAATAAAATACATGTCACTACTGCTATCACCTAATAACATTAAATGTATTTTTTTAAATGATATGATGTAGATTTTAAGTAGAGAGTTTTTGAATTTACTCTGCGGATAAGTAAATGTTCCTTCTTGTAGTAATGATTTCTCAATTTTATTTTAGACCTTGTAGTGAACAATTACTATATCAATGAAAATGATTGCATGCATTTGTACTTGATACTCTCTTAGCCTGTATTTGCAACTAACTATTATACTTTGTTTTTTTCCTCACACCCTGTTGTGAGCCCTTACGTTGCATCAGCACCAAATTAGTAGCACATGTTTTCAATTGACAAAAGATAGGGAAGTATACATTTGTTTTGTAATTTAATACAGCAATATGTTGAGTGAAAAGCTTTTGTAAGCATTTGCCCTTGAGAGCTTTAGTTTAATTATAGATGGTGCTGAGCATGTCAAAATTTCACCCATGGACATCACTAGCAGAAATCCATTTCCAAGGACATACTCTGTTCTGGAACATATCCAGACCTTAAATGCAAGGTTTAGCATGCTAATAGGTATAGACTGACAATCTGTAAACATAAGATCTGGGGAATTATTCCTAGATCCTAACTCCTTTGTGTTTACATATCCATAAATTACCCTGGAGAAGGAAGGCAGAAATGATAGTTGCATACTGGGTTTTTTGCTGTCTTGCTTTGCATTCATAATTTTATAAGAATTGTTATGAAGACATTTTGCACACTGCTAGTCTTAAGGAGTACCTAGGAATTGTGCATAATCAAACATACTTGGCTGAGAAAGTCTAAGAAGGAACACAGTTTGGAGTAGGTTACAGTAGAAGACCAGGGATAGGTTAAAACTGATAGTAGTTATGGGTCAGAAAACAAGACCTGTTCTTAGGTAGCCTAATTTAAAAAATGTACCAGTAGGGTAAAAAGTGCTGATCTGTGAATTAACAGGTTTAAAAAATGAGGAAGTAGGGGGGTGGTGAGTGTTGGCCTCTGATAAAGGATTTAACCTTTGTGTAGATTTATGCTGGCACTAGAAAGATAGGAAGTGTGGGATAACAGCAGAAAGGATTTAATAGTAGTTATTGTAGCTTTGATGCCAACATTTTTCCCCTAAAAACTGAATTGCCTCATTTTTACGAGTAGCAACTGTGTCCCCATGCTGCTTTTGTGGGAATGATTCTTTGACCCTCTACAAAGCTTATTTCTATTTCCTTCTGAAATACATCTTTAAAATATTCTTTCCTTGCAAAATTCTACTTAAAGATTTCTAAAAAAAATGTTTAAATCTTTGCTTCTGTCCTTCCACTTGTAACTTTTATATTAACTTCCTCTCTGTGCTACATCATTTCCTTTTTCACGCTAGCCAATGAGGACCACTGGCCAAAGGTATGTAAGATCATTTTTCCTTTCTTTTTTTTTTTCGTTTGTGTTCCCTGTTGTTAATATGTAGGTCGTCCACCTAAATACAACACGGTGTTGGGGTTTGGGGCTTTGACCCCCACGTCCCCTCTGTCCAGTTATCCTGACTCCCCTGAAAATGAAAAGACAGAGACCACATTTACTTTTCCCGCAGCTGTTCAGCCCGTGTCCCTGCCTAGCCCCAGCTCCACAGACGTAAGTAACTCTTGGGGTGGGGGTTACTTTTAGAAGTACACAAAACAGACACAAGGAAAATCATTGCAGGTTTTGTTTCTTTAATCTCACTGATCATTTGTCCTGATTCAGTACAGTGAAACAGTCCAGCATTTTTTAACACCTTTCCTTTTTCCCTCTTGCACCTATGTTGTTATCCTGTAGAGGTTTTATTTATAACCCCTTCAGTGGATTGAAACATTGGGAATCACCAGGAATGCTAGATGAGCTCATTTCCTTTGTGTAGTGTCTGAGATCTTGTGTGGCTGAATTGAATCTGTCACCCATGAAAAAGGGCCAGGGGGTGTGGGAGTGGGTGGGGAAGAGGAGAATGAAAAGTATTAGTTACAGGCCATAATAACAAAAAGTTGTGTTTCTATAATGAGATGAGGATGGAAACCGTTTCTTCATGCAGAACAGCCAGGAGCAGCATTTGTGGCACTGATTTGGCAGAAAGTGTGTTGTGACTTTTCAGTGGGGTAAAACAGTCCTCAGGAGCTGGAGTGTACTTTCATTTAAGAGCTTGCATTTAAAAGACTGGTATTTACAGGGCACAGCTTAAGAATCAAAAGGTGTTTGCTTATTTCTTTATACTGTTGCTACAATCTCCTTCTGCAGTTCTTCTTTTAGAAAAGACAGTCACATATACTTGAGGCCCAAGCATCTGAAATGGCCTTTAAGGAAAAGCTTGGTTGTTCTATTTTCATCTGTATAGTTGCACCATTGTAAGAACATGGACTGAGAGACCAACTCTACTGACCACGTAGAACAGGGAATAGAAGTCAGTTCCTTGCCTCTGAACTGTATTTGTTCTGCAGAGGTAGCAGGAATAGGAGTAGTACAAGTGTGTCTGAAGCACTGAAATAAATAGGTGCAATTCTGATACCTAGGGAATATGCATGTGGAATTACAAGGTTCTCCTTTATATAGTCATTTTTGAGAGCAGGATAGCACATGACTGCAAAAGCCCTTTCTTGAAAGCCAAATAAATGGGGCTATGAAGCAGCTCCTCATGGATACAATGGGACAGCTCCATCTCTGGGGTCTTTTAAAAATAAGCAGTACAGATAACTTGCTAATATGCTGAAGAGCACATATTTTACATTGGCCCCAAGAGAAGGACTGGATAATGTGGTTGGGGTCTTTTCCATCTCTGATATGTGTGTATACTGCTGAGTCTTTTCCTACTGTGTAAGAGCTCTCAAAAGAGTATGATGAGTTGTTGCCCTGTTTTCTGCAGTGCCTGATGGCAGCAAGCTAAATCAAGAATAAATTTCTGTAGCATTCAAATCTAGTTCTGAATGCTTCTTAATTTTCTGAATTAGGATTGTATTTAGGCCTGGGTTCTGGATTGATTTAATATACATTAATTAATGAAAATTGAAGTGATTTAAAGGAGACGGTGGAAGATTACTTAGCAGGTAACAAACATTCTCTCTTACCTGAACATACTATAATACAGAGAAATAACACTCTTTCTCCTTTAACATCATATGTAAATTCCCTTTAACATTTCCAGATGAGCCATTTAGTTCATATGTACGCAACAGAACTAACATTTTTAAAAAGCTTGATTTTTCTCAAGAATTTTATACCAAAGTCACATTGGGCTCATTTGGTAGAATTTTCAGAAATACTTGGTATTGAATTCCATTTAAAATCAAATACATGTGAAAGTAGAAAATATATTTCAAAGTTCTCATAAAAATATTTTTTAAATTAAAAATATACTATGAAACAAAATGTGAATCTTCAGAGACAGCAAAATATCAGAAAGGAGGTAAATATCTGTTCTTCATTATATCTTATAATTCTTACTGCTAATTGTAAAGAAAGGAATCGTTTCCAGTTGCCATCATAAGGTGGAAGGTTTTCTTCATTTACTATGTTCATTTAATAAAGTTTGTGCAGTCACATCCCTTTTTTGTGATTTGATTCCCTGTATTTATATATTTGTCATGCTGTGTGCTTTTCCTGTCTGAGTTTTGGGAACTTAGCAATACTTGTAAAAATTTTTAGCATCCTTGGCTGGAAAAGTGCATCATAGTGCTGGAAAAGTACTCTGTATATAACAGCAATAGTACAAGGTGGTGAAGACAAAGAGGAAGTTTAGTTCTTTGATATTTAAGGACCTTGCAACTCGAATCGATGGAAGAGTACAGGATCTACTGAAATGCTCATCCACAGTTTATGCCAGGGGCTACCATTGAGGACATTTATCCTGCCAGTCACCAGCAGTCTTTGCTCATCACCTGAATGCCTCCTGTGCTATTTCAGCACAGATACATCTGAGGCCACATAGTGATCTGCATAAGGGAACTGACGTAGCTGAAAATTGTTAGTCTTAGCCAGGATCACACCCTAATCCAGTTAATTTTATAGACATCAATATTCTTCTGCCAGCTTCATGCAGGGTGAAATAAGTAGGCATATAGAGAAATCAGGATAACTTCTTTTGGCAGTGAGACCAGACCATGTCACGTTGAAGAGGGTCTACACTTGTAGCAGATTATGTGACTATAGGAAGGTCTCCAGATAGGACAGAAAATGTTTTCTATAGTTACAGACTGTGATTTGGAACTTTGAACACTTAAAAATGAAAGCACAAATGTGTGCCTAAGGAAAAGGCTATTTCAGAAGTCTCAGTTAAAATAACTGAGCAGTTCATCAGACAGATAAAGAAGAAAACTGCAGCTTTGCCTATCTTTAAAATATTTTTGCATTACGGGTTTAATTCCTATAGGCTCTAGAATAGAAATTTCATTTAGTGCTCGAGTAATCCACGTGTTCAGCCAGCCTATGAAAATTGCAAGTCAGGCCAAGCACTTGGCATCAGGCACAGGAGACCAGAACAGCCTTCTTTAATTTCTCTGAATGACAGGGAGAAATTTTGAATGGAAGATGAAGCAGAAACTTAAGGTGGGATTGGTGATTAGGATGGAGGGGTAGAAAGGGGAAAGGAAGGAAATAATGCAATAGGCAGGATTGAGCAAAACCTCTTTTTTTTCTCTCCCTTTTTTCCCCGCCTTTTTCCAATTTGGCAACTGTCTTGCCAAATGGTTATGTGTGCCACTGATGAGCCACTTGGTTATGTGTGGTTTCCCTCATGCAGTAGTGGCATATTCAGCTGGAAGATAGCAATTGCCTTTGAAGATCAATTACTCAGCAGTAAGAATTGTGCAAAAATCTCTGTTTTAGTCATGATTCAGGTCTTTGGTTAGAAAATGTCTTTTTATTAGTAAACACTTATATCAAAACAGTGTTTCAATTGAGAGGAGCATTGTAGAACATTCAGATTGCAAAGTCAAGCCCATAAAAATTAGAATATGCCAGAATTAATATTGCTTCTGATAATTTAATTCACTTACATCATACGCTATGATAATCTTTATTTATATGATTATGAACAATTCCTGTTGAAGAATATTTAATTTTCCCATGTTATTCCAGTGAAATGTACATATAAGTATAGATATTACAAACTCAAGCACACAAGCTGCTTTTGTTACTGTGCTATTCAGTTCTGTTGCCTAAAGCCAGGCCCTGCTGCTCTAGACACTTTATCAAAATAAAGAAAGCTGTTAGCTGTCCAGAAAGCTTAAATTTATTTTCCTGATCCCCTGTAAAGAGGAAGTAGAGCAGAAAGTGACGTTAAATCACCTTTTACGGTATCTGTTCCGAAATTATTCTTTGGTCACTTTTGGCTGTAGCATGTCTGAGCAGCCTCACTGAGCTCTGCTCCAGCCTGAGTTGGTGGCTGTAGCCTACACAAAGGTGCTTCAGAAGCTGAGGTTGTGGGTGCCTGTCACCACACCAGTTCCAGCCCCCTCTTTATGCATATATTTATTAACTGCCCATAAGACCTGAATCAAACAGTGGCTGGGATTTTGGTAAGGACCGTTGTTAACTCAGAGGAATTGCCCTGAATTTTGCATTACCAAAAATAGGACAGTGAATTCTGTGCACGTGTGTTGGCATCTCCATGCATTCAGCTGCACTGTGCACTGGTCACCTGTATCACTACAGGTTTTGCAGTACTCAATTGAATTTGGGATATTCTGGGTCTAAATTTCTAAATGTCTCCCCCTCAAGAAGAAACTGCATATGTGTCTCTTTTGTAGGATTCTTTCTGCAGGGTATGAGACATAACAGGTTTGGTTTTCAGCACACCAGTAATTTTGCACTTTGCTACCAAGAACCATTGTGGAGTCTGTGGCAACTAAATCATCTTAAGATATGTAATTATCTAGAATAGAATTATTTTTTTCTAAAATGAGAGAATTCCCCTCTTAAACTTCTCCTTATCTTGAAGAGGATTTTATTTTAGCTTAGATGATTTCTTTTGCCTTGCACTTTTTCCTTGTACTCAGAGAATGCATGATAGAGGAAAAGAAGTTTTTCCCAGTCTGGTTACAACACATCACTTCACAGGAAGCATGAAATGTCACTCATTTAGATCTTCATTTAACACTGAGGAATCTTTAGTGATAAAGGTGAAGTAATACCATAACTCAACTCTCAGCGATCCCTGGGAGTTATGGATCCAAAACACAGCACTGAAAATTCACTGAAGATTGCTCCTTTACAAAACATTAAATCAGTGTTAACCTTGGGAATTAAGAATAGCCTTCCCCTTGAAGAAGGGCCTCATCAGCAATAGAGCTGGGAAGTAGAAGCCTGAGCAGATTGCTCATGTGTCATTCTTTTTACATGTGTATTATGTCATCCATAGTGGAGATTACTGTAATTTTTCTTGCCTTAATGTGTGAGTGCATGGCCAAATCTGCTGTCCCTCCAAATTGATAGAAATTGTTTGCATGTGTGGAGAGGTGATCTGTGCCAAAATGAAACCTTGCATACGCTGGTTCTTCATACAGGGGAGTGTGTACCCACAGTTCTGCTCCACACACACATCTTATGACTGCAGTCTTGCAGATCTGGGGTGTGTGTGAAACTTCATTTTAAGTCAGTGAAAAGTGTGTACTTCAGACACCAGATGGGGCCTTGAACACGTGGAGTTGCCAGGACAGCCTGTTGGTCCCATGAGAGAGTGAGGTGCCCCATACTTCCTCTATGGACACTAAGCCACTTTTCTATCATGCCTCTTCATTCAAATATCTGAAAATCAAAACAAGAGGAGAGAGAGAGAGAAAAAAAAAGAAACAAGAATCACACCTACCTTTTTGGGATGTTAATGGCTGTAGAAAAGAACTCTCTCTGATAGAAATGCAATAGTAACTAAACCTAGTTCTTTTAAAATACACGGCCAGTAATTTTTTTCCATTCTTTCTTTTAAAAAAATGATCGAAAATCTCTCTTGGTATTCTTTCATCCTGGCTCTCAGTTTCTGTTAGTGATGAAACAATCCACTCTCTATAGAGAATGAGAAAGTTTTGAGTCACAGCTGTTTTGGTGCAACTTGCGGTAGCCTAAATGAAGTAAAAAGAATTGTCTCAGAACATGATTGATTCTATTCTTTTTCATATAGAAGCACAACACCTTTTCCTTACAGTTTCATTTTTAAAGGTGACCTAAATATTTAACAGTGTTCTTTTAAATCACTCAGTTGGGGTTTCTTACATACTATTACTGGCAAGAGACAGCCTAATTAGCATTCCTAGAGTGGAGTTGGGCTTATATCCAAAAATCAAGAGGGTTAAGAAAGTGAGTAGCTCATCACTTCAGGCAAATAAAAAGATCAGGGTAAAGAGGGAATCTTAAAGAAGAAAGGCTACGGGGTAGCAATTGTTAAGAGAAGTTACAGTAATAAGTGTTTACTGTACCATTTTGCCTTGAGAGGACAGAGGGAGTGTTTGGAAGGACAGATGTCAGTGTTTCTGACATCTGGCATGGTTTTCCTGTTTCACAGTCTAAAAAGGGAACCTTTTGGAATCCTCTTAGAAATAGTTTGTGCTGTAAACCTTGAATTCAACTCAGATGTAGATATCAAAGGTCAAAGTTCACTTATTGCCTTCTCTCTCTCACTTTCTCTCACCCAAACCCTTTCCCCTCAATTTTATAGGGTGATATCCATGAGGATTTTTGCAGCGTTTGCAGAAAAAGCGGGCAGTTGCTGATGTGTGACACATGTTCACGTGTTTATCACCTGGATTGTCTGGACCCGCCTCTGAAAACCATTCCTAAGGGCATGTGGATCTGTCCCAAATGTCAAGACCAGGTATTGTTTGACAGACAGGGAGCTGTGTACAATGTGTGTGAAGATTTTTTAGTGTTAAAGAAAATAACCAGATTGCTTGCATTACTTAGACCGAGACAACCTGACACTGAACAAATCTATTTCATGTGCAATAAGGCTTGTGTGAATTTAATTGAATTATTACCTCTGTTGGAATGTGTCCTAATACAAAACTGTCAGGTCTTGCTTCCGAATTTGGGGTCTTTGTTACCCTTATGTTTTTATTCTTTTTCTGGGTCAAAGTATGCAGACTTTTGGGAAAGATTATCTACAATCCATAGAAATGCTGCTGTTCATCTTAAGCTAATTGTTTCTTCAAAACTTATTAGTATATTCTTCAGGACAAATAAATAAAACATTTGCACAAGCCTACCTCCATAGATAGAGCACATATAAGCCCCTGCTTGCTTATACAAATCAAACATCAGAAAGGTTGTCTTCAGTGATCTCTTTAATAATATTATCCAGCATCAGGATTATGAGTATAGGTGAAGAGTTTCCTTGCAGATCACTCTCTTAAAATGTACAGTTGACGTGAGCAGGTTTTATTTTAATATTTTGTTTATAATTGCATTGAGATTAGAAGATGGAGAAGTAAACTGTTGTTCTCCTAACCCTTCCATGGAGCTCTAGAAGTTGCAAAGGATTGCTGGTGACAGGCAGTCTGAAGCTGTGTCCTGTCTAACAGCACATTGCTTGGTCACCCACATGGCCTTTGATGCACCAGGTGGTGGCATAGGAAAACAGCCAGACCTATAATGTGCTGCTCAGATGAATGAAAATGCAAAACTCAAGCGGTTTAGTCAGTAGTTGCCAGAGAGGAGGGAGTATTATGACTTGGGTACTCCTACTCTTGCCTACTCTCACCTTATCCCTCCTCTTCATGATAGCTTCCAGCAAAATTAAGGAGGAAATTTGAGTAACTTCACTGTAAACTGACCAAGTCCTCTGTCTTCTGAGACACCACTCTGATCATGTACTAAAAATACGTATCCTTCCTCTTAAAGTTTGTTAGGAAGCAAAATGAAGGAAGGATCTGAAAGGCATAAATGGTGCTTACCCTTATAAAGAGTTTGACAGATCTGTTAAGATGATTCTGATAACAAGGGATGATAGGACAGTTTCACGTTTTACTAGCCAGAAGTGTGATGTTTGAATGTATGGTATGGAGACTAGGCTGCAGCAGAAAATTTTTTTTTCCCCAGCCCAACTAAGATCAGCAATTTGTCTGAACCATGAAGTAATGTTTATGTCTCCTGGCAAGTTTTGAGTTCAGATCTATTATCCTTTCATTCCTCTTTTAAGTTGTTCAGTATCATTAGTTGACTTTATTTGTGGTTATGGAAGGAATTTAGGAAAATGCTGACATTTGTAGGAAATAGGTTTGCTTTGTGGGAGCCACAATACAGTTGTGAATAATTCCCTCTGTTAAATCTCAGATCAGGTCTGTGAAGCTTCATGTGAACAGGGCTGAGGCTAATGATACCCATGAAAGAAAATCCTCAATCTTTCCATCTTTGTCTCTCTCTTTTTTGCTTTCTCTGAGGTAGGTTTTTTACTAGCTAAATCTCTATGAAAATTTTCTTTCAGATGCTAAAGAAGGAAGAAGCAATCCCATGGCCAGGAACTTTAGCAATTGTTCATTCATATATTGCATATAAAGCAGGTAAGAAAATGAGGAACGCTTTTCTTTCACTTTAAATAATGGAAGATGTTATTTTGGGAGTGGGATAGAATGTTATTTCCTTTACAAAAGGAAATTTTGTCATACAAAAGGAAATAACCTTAATCACTAGTGAAGTGAAAATAGCAGTCTAAATATTTCTTAAGTCTGTTATGCTTGTGTATGTAGGTAAAATTTTGGTAGTGATTCAGTGCACAAGTTATTAAGTATTGGTTTAAACACAATTCCCCTCTTTACATGAAGTACTTTAGACCCTCTATCCACTATTGTAAGCGAAATATTTAAAATATTCCGTTTAATACTCTGTTTTGCAGCAAAAGAAGAGGAAAAACAGAAACTACTTAAATGGAGTTCAGATTTAAAACAGGAAAGAGAACAACTAGAGCAGAAGGTCAAACAGCTCAGCAATTCTATAACAGTGAGTACTGTCCTCCCAAATAACCCTTCACCTGTGTTCCAGTGCCACAATGCAGGGTGAAAACTATTATAGAGCAACTGCATATACCAGACCTGTCATCCACTGGATTTATTTAGAATTGAGTGAGTGCCTTCCTTTGCTTTTCTGGGGAACAGGAATTAAATAAAGGCAACATATACTTACATTGAGTCTCTTGTACATGATCCACACTGAGCATGTAGGTAGACATATGGTGACATATACTATCAGCAGGTGACAAAGATGACCCATAGCGTTTTTGTCTATGGGCAGTAGATTGAGTCCAACTCTCTAGTGGCTCACTTAAACAAGAATGGTTGGGCCTCTGTGTGTAGAGTTACAGCCTTGGTGCATTCTCCAGACCTCTCTGATGCAAAAGCAACCATTTACTCAGGGCTGTTTCTCAGCATCTTGACATGTTGCCTTGGCAGTCAGCAGCTGGACACTGCACATGCCTCTGCGTGGTATTAACTAGACAATGTCTAGTTTGTCACCTTAGTTTCTTGCAGTAATTTGAACATACATATTGATTTGGTCACTCTTCTCACCTTAATGTGCAGATTAGTCTCTTGAGATGCCAGTGTAAAGTTTAAGCCCCTCCTTGGTGCAGGTCTAGTCAGTGTCACACAGTGAAAAAAAGCAGAATCTCCTGTGTGGCAACATCTGTAAGGCTGGATTCATAATTACAGACTTTTTAGATACAGATGCACTTTCCAGGCTGCCTGTCTTTGCCTATTAGAGCAAAAGTGTCCATGTCACCTTCTTTCTGGTTAGCAGTAGCTGAGTGTAACCTGAGCAGCACTAGACAACTAACACTGTTTCTCAGTGATGTACCCAAGCAGATGCAAGGCCTTAACATGAGGGATTGGCAGTGGGCAAAGAGAATGTTCATACTTACATTGGACCTGTCCAAAACAGGCATATTAGGTCTAGATGTTTTAGAGTTATTATGATGCCATGAGCTTCATGTGAAAACAGTAAAGCTAAAACCAGCAGTGTCTGGAGATCAGGCATCTTCATGTAAAAACCTGAATGTAACAGACATAGCTACTGTTCTGTCATTTTTGTGAGTTTCAAATATATATATAAGCAGTTTTTCACTCTTGAAACATCATTTGTGGGTTTTTTTAAAGTTACCTTGCCCTGACACTTAGCTGATGAGCTAGCTATGTTACTACCACTTCTAAGAGAATGAAGTGGCCACAAAATAAGATTTTCAAGTGAAGAGGAGTTTGGTTTCCTTTTCAAGTGCCCTTTTACTTATTGAGAGAAGGAAGTGATGTTCCTACTAAAATGTATGTGAAAGCAAAGGCTGTATCCCATTAGTGGTTTGCACACACACTGTCAGCAGTCAGCTGCAGTGAGATGCCTGAGCTTGCAGATCTGAGTTACAGAAATTTCAATAATGCAATACTAATAGAAAAAATACTAAGAACATACACTTGGAAGTTTTCCTTCAAAAGAAACACAAAAGAATGGAGCTGTCTGTGTTCATCTGCTCAAGACCTTGGAATGAAAGGGAGCCATACCAGGTGACAGCTATGTCTTGGCAATTTATTTCCTCAGCCTGCAAATAAGAATTCTCCTCTGAACACAGCCTAGAGACTCTTTTTCTTCTAGGTTGGAAAAGTAAAGCTGCAGCTGCAGTCTTTTCTGCATACTTACATTTAGATCTGTGAACATCATATTCCTTCTCTTACCTTCTTTCATTTGTAAGCTCAAACTTATTACTGATTTTCTACTTTGCTGTAGAAATGCATGGAAATGAAGAATACCATCCTTGCAAAACAGAAGGAGATGCACAGCTCCTTGGAGAAGGTAAAACAGCTGATCCGCCTCATCCAAGGCATCGACCTTTCAAAACCCATAAACTCTGAGGTCAATTCAGTAGCCATCTCCAACGGCATGGACTCCACTAACAATACTAATGCTGCCACCTCCACCTTAGCCCCCTCCCCTTCCCAGAGCTGCATGGTGAACTGTAACAAGGGCGATGAGACTAAATAACACAGTGAAGTTAAGAAGGAGCCAAGGGAGGTGGCGGCGAGGAGAAAGAGCAAAATAAAGAAACTCTAGAAAAGCAAAACTGGATTTCTTCTGGAAAGTGCAGAATTCTTTAGTTCTTTGGTTCCAGAGAGAGCGTGAAGATGCTTGTGCCAGGCGGCACCGGAGTTTGCCAATTGATCCTTCTTATTCTGTGTGTTTGGATCATGTTACATGAATAGTGCCAGCTGGGGGTTCTTTGCCAGCACCATGCCAAGTGAAATAATATATTTACTCTCTCTATATTTTACACCAGTGTGTGCCTGCAGCAGCCTCCACAGCCACTATAGGTTTGTTTTATTTTTGTTTGGGGTGAGGAGCAGGGATAAGGGAGGAGAGCAGGTTTCAAGTTCCTATTTGCAGAACAGTTTGTTTAGCTAGGGGAAAACAAAAACAAGTCCAAAGAGCCTATGGGCTTTTCCTGTTTCTAAACTCTCAGTACTATTAAACCAAAAAACCAGAAATATAAATTATCAAATCCCAGTGCCCAGAAGGGACAAGTCTATCAAATAAGCAGTATTTACTATTGTTTAGACAGGAGATGTACAAAAGGAAAGGAGATGGACTTTTCACTGAGTAACCAGCACACAGAATCATAGAATATGCTGAGTGTTTTGAAGGGACCCATCAGGATCACAGAGTCCAACTCCTGACCCTACACAGGACACCCCAAGAATCACACCATGTGCCTGAGAGCCTGTGGGTCCTCACACTCATCCAGAAAGCCTGTTTTGGGAATGGTAAAATAGAGGGCCAGAATCCAGGGTCAGCTTGGAGCATTGGATGGAGGTGTCCCAAGAGAAAATGTGCATCAATTACTTGAAAATGAGATTCCATCCCTTTTCTGTATTTATAAACAACAAAGGTATCCTGAACAAAGTAGCACATAACCCAGATGTGTGAACTCAACAGAGAAATGTCCTTTTCTTTCACTTCCTTTCTCTTCTTTTGGTAACAAGAACTAAATAAGGAATAGAAAAGCTGTTTTTCAGGCTGACAGTCTAATTAAAGAGGTAGATGGGACCTTGCATGGTATAGATTAGAAGTAATAGTGTCAGTGAGATACAGTGAGTCTTTGTGAGTCCTTGTGTCATCGTTTTGGGCACTGTTTTTTTATGCAAGGGCAAAATCTTTGTATCTGGGGGAAAAAAACAACTTTTTTAAATTAAAAAGGAAAATAAAAGATATTGAGGTCTTCCTAGTGTTACTTAAAATAAGATCAAGGTAAGAAACATTGTAAAAAAAAAAATTACAAAAGTGCTATTTGTTTCCTAAACAAGTGATTTCTATTAAAAAGGTGTCAGAACTGGAGAAAATGCTGTGTACTTAGAATTTTTTAACACAGACTTTGCTTATTTATGATGACATTCTGCTGTGTTTGTGTTCTAAAATCTAATGGGACAGTTTCCATAGGTTCTACCATACATCTACTGGCTAAAGTCTAAAGAGAATCAAATCCTACAGTGCTGGATCTCACCCCACCTGGAGGATCTCCCAGCCTTGTCTCTGCTGTTACCATCTCTCTCCCATTCTTCCATGTGTTTGTAACCCAGAGAAAAGCAGTTGGCAGTGTGCTGAAGGCTTTCATAGTTCTGTGATTCAGACTGATTTGAGCTTGAGAATGAAGGACAGTGACTTGGACTGAAATCACCCTCTGTTATCTCCTCTTGTTCAAGAAGTTCATCTCTAATGTATAATCTTTTCACTCTGGACAGCAGAGCTTGCCTTGTGCTTCCTGATTGTGGGGTCTGGCTCAGTTTAGGGTGCAGATTCTGGTCACATCGGGTTGTGTCCCAGAGCTGTCTAGTTTCACTACTGCATATACACATTTGGGCAAAGCCCATTTCCACTGGAAGTACCAGGAAAACTCCCTTTACTTCCCGTGGGAGCAGAGTTGAGCCACGGCACACACAAGGTGAGGCAGTGTCCCCAGTGTGGTGGCCTTGAGAGCATGTGTTGGGTGGCGAGGCAGAGCTGCTCAGCTGTTCATAGGGGAAGATGAAAAGCTTTGCATTTCAAGGATGCATTTCTGAGCAAGTGAATCCTCCAGACATGACTTAGCCTGAGAGAGTTTCTTTGCTGCCCCAGTCAAGTGGGCTTCTGTGGGGTTCTTGGAGCTGTTTTATTTCCTCTCCTTTAGGCTGCCCTTCAGCCCTCTAAGGACTTTTATTCCTTCTGTAGGAGTGTGCATTATTTTCAGCTCTGAGCTCAGAACTGATATCCTGAGTTCTCACATTTGTCTCAGTTGGGAAAGTGACCCTTACACGCACTTCTCAGCTGCACCAGTGATAACCCTGACTCTGTCTTTTGATGTTGGAGTTCTGTTCTGGAACTAGCAGAGCTGGAAGGATAAGTTAGCTGGGCAGACACTGTCAAAATGGATCATACTAAAAATGTCCTTCCATCAATCCAGTTACCAATGCAGTCATTACCATTGGGCAGCACTAGGCCTGCAACCCTCAGCATTTAAACAAAGGACTGTCTATTTCAAGGGTTGAAGAGAAAAAACAAACTGAGCCTTCTATAGAATTTGAACCATCAGTTAACAGCCAGATATTCAGGAGAAGCTGCCTTTTGGAACATGTTAGTCTTCAGCTGAACACTTGAGTGATTCTTAACAGCATCTTGTGAAGCATCAAGCTTTCCTGGTAAGAGACTGTCTCCAGGGATAGGTGTGCTGAGTCTTTGTGGTTCTCATGCTCTTATTTCTGTGTTAACCTGAGCTCTCTTGGAAGCACTGCACTGTTTGGAGGTAGGAGGCTATGTCTGGAGACTCAACAGTTCTTCTGTTTTCTTTGCTGACAGAGGGGATCATTCAGGAGAGGATGGAAGTGAAATTCACTAGTGGCCATATTTAAATTTGCACAGTTAACCAGACAGGAGATGTTAAAACAGCTATTACTGCTTTCCTGAGGCATCTGTTTGTCTCCAGAATCCAAGTAGATAAGTACAGATTTTATATCCCTTTTGTTACAGCATTTGTGTTCCAGACTGTAAAAGGATGCCTTTAGTTAATCATAACTTATCAGAAAAATTATCTTAGACCTTTTGATGATGCTTAGGTAGTTTTCTTTCTCTCTCACTGATCCTGTTGGAATGCTTTTTCCTCCTGGCTCTGCAACAGTATCAGCCAATAGACAAGGAGCATTCCCTGGCCTGCACTGACACTAGCAATGATGCTGCTGTGTAAAGACACAGTAAATTTGGGTTATCTGTACCCAATTACCAACAATAGGGTGGAAGGGGAATTGCTGTTTGCTAAATACAGGGGAAAATGGTTTTTTCCTAGCTGCTCTAAGAGGTTCCAATCAAGGGAGTTATTTAAACTCAGTGACATCTTAAAACTCAAACTTTTCTTTTGGGTTTGTATTGGTTTGGGGTTTTTTTCTCATGTAATATTTGAGATAGAATGAGTTTGTTCTAAAACTTCTGCTCTTTGGGAAGCTGTCATAATGGCTGTGGTTTTGTATTTCCAAACTACCATCAAGATATTAACTAATTCTTATGTCATTGCTTGTCATTGGTGGGAAACAAGTGGCTTTTAAATCTCTGTTACGAGGGAAGAAATGAGACCACAAAGGAATCTCATCTCAAAGATGGTCCTGGCTCTTCATCCAGTGCTAAGGGCCTTAAGAAGTCACTCTGCTCCTTTGCTCAGAAGTAGAGCAAGCATTGCAGAAGTTTCTTTTTCCCTTCTCTGTACAATCTGTTCTTTAAACAGTTGGAAAGGTGTGTTGGGGTCAGAGTGGAAAAGTGAGCCTGTGACCTGGCTAGAAGAATTAGTATCATCATTGGTGTTTTCATTGTCTTTCTTTAGAGCCAGCAGTGGGTTTAGTGCTGTACAAAACATGGGGTGAGCAACACTTCTAGGGATGATTGGAAGGTAGGGTGAGTAGCATGGCTGATTCTTTCAAGACATCATTACCCAGGAGTTACCATGTTGGTAGGATGAACTAATGTTTTGCATGAGCAAAACAGGGCTTTGCTTGTATGTTGCAAGCAGGTTTCTGTCAGTGGGGATATGAATTAAAAGCCTGGAAATTAAAGAAGCAATAATTTTATGGACAGATATATTGGTTTTATTGTTGGCAGGAAAAAAGAATATTGCATTTTATCTCTGCTAGGCTTAAGAAAGTGAATCTGTGTTCCTAATGTGAAACCTAATTCTGACCTCCTTGGCTTCAAATCATCTTCCATGTATTGTTGCAGAGACAGCCCTGAAAAGCAGCATGGAGAACCTGGAGTGAAATCTCCCTCTTAGCCCCACCCCAAGCTGTGGCAGCCCACAATACAGGGAATAAACTCTGAAATTTCTTTCTCATGTGGATACAGCAGAAAACATTTGTGAATTTGCAGTGCACACATTTCTTTTTCTTTTCCTCAGCTGGGTTGCACACCACCCTCTTTGCTTCTGAAGCACTAATTATGAATACATGCTTTTAATGAAACGTGTTTTTAAAACAACATATTAAGATGTTAAACCAAAATTCACTGTTCTACTGAGGGCTTCTCTCAGTGAGCTGCTCAGATAACCACTAAAATACCAGTGGTTGTTACACTTCCTTGTGGACATGCCCCTTTGGGCAGAGTTTGTCTTTTTAGAATCATTTTGACCCTTCTTCACCTCCTCTTGTCCTCCCTTGGAATTCTAGAGATCCAAGGCAAATTCAACTTTGCTGGATTACTGCAAAGAGTTCTCTGACAAGTATGTAGGAGTCAGGAACTTGGAGAAAGAAGATGTTTTGTTGTGCAGCTAATTCATTTGACACTTAGGCTTGCCTGGCCAACAAACTACCTCAGCAAAGGCCATTCCCAAGCACTATGGATTCTGTAGTTTCTGGCATTCAGAAGGTAAAAGGTCCAAAGAACCCTCCAGCAGCCAGCTAGGTACTGGTCTCTGCAGGTGTGAGCAAACGTTGCAGTGACATGCTGCTGAATCCTTGTTTTCAGTGGTTAGACCTGGACCAGGGAATGACCCAAAAATCTGATGGGGTCAGGAAAAGTGAGACCTGTAGATGTCTTGTCTCCAGGTTATTGCTGTCTTACTCAGATCCTCAGTCCTGTTTGTAACTCCTGCAGAATGGAATGTTAATACTTGAAAAATATGAGTCTCTCTATCCTATACCCTTAGCTCTCATTTCCCGCCTGTTTCTCTCTTATCTGGGACAAGAACTTTCTTAATCATTGTGTCTTGTATAGGCTGAGCACATAGTTGATCAACTTGCCAATAAAGAAAATTATTTATACCATGCACTGGTAAGCTTGGTAATTAAAGACCCATGAGAATACAAATGCCTCTCCCCGAGGTTAATTTAATTGTTGGCTTGTATCAGAAAACCAAAAGCTTACCTGTGTGAGTCTGTCTGTATCCCAGACTGTTTGTCTGTCAGTATTACTAAAATACCTGGGTAGTGAATGGAAAAAAGGCTTCCTAAGAGCAGGATGCTGTGGAAATCACTGTGCTGTGCAAGTCCCTGGAGTGTATCTCATGAGAATAGCTAGACCAGGGCTTCCCATCTCCCCGGGCCAGAGGTGGATGCTTCAAGGGACAAATTAGAGGACAGAAGGCTCTTTTGAGAAGTGGTACAGGGCTGCAGATGGAAAAGAGAGAAAAAGCAGGAGCAGCAAAGGAAACAAAGATTACATGGGGTAAAGCTGAACAGAGAGAAAAAAATATGGAAAAACATGAGGAGGGAAAGTGAGTGGAATAGGTCTTCCTTTTGAGTAGACAGGTATTCTGCAGTTACAGGGTTTGAAAGTTCAATGGAAAGAGTAGAACAAAACCACTCTTTCATCCTACCTCGATTTCTGACATGGGTTGGTCTGTATTCCAAAAGGAGCAGGTGTGGTGGGAGAAAAGAGCTGCTTAGGTGCAGATGGAAAAGCAAGTAAGTACTAAGTCTTCCCTAGCTCTGCTTCTGCTGCAGAGTGATTCCATCCTGATGAAAACCTTATTTGACTTCTAAGCTACAACATGGGGATAAGGCAGATCAAGCAGACATTGAGGCAGCTAGAGCCTACTCTAATCTGGAATGTATTAATTAAACATTTTCTTGGCTATAAACATTCCCCAAATAGCTAAACGTTCAGCTCTGCTGGTGTGGTTGCACCTTCCTTGTTCAAGTGTTACAATGAGCCTAGCTGAAACCAGCATCAGCTCCCAGAAGTCCTGGGTTCTGTGTGAGTGAAGGAGATGAGGTGGAGTAGGATGTGTAATTCAGGTACTTCTCAGCCACCTCCTGGAGTATCTGTGGAAGATTCCTGTTTTCTGGGCTGTCATTATCTGGCAGTTCTGTGCCAAAATCCCTCTATGTGAGCAATGCCTCTCTGTTTTCTCAGGATCTGGTTTCTTTAGGGACATGTGGAAAGAGGCATTTCACCAGTGCAGCTAAACAAGGGACATGTGTTAAGTTTAATGTAACCTGTGAGGAGCTGAGGACCTGTCTCTAGGCTACCTTAAGCAAGCAGACCATGGGGCACCCTCCTGGGAAAACAGCTGTCCCAGCTCTCCTGTGTAACCAGGGATAAATTCTGTGCCTGTTCTTCACTCTCTAGTATCCAAGCAGGTGTCAAAGTCTTCAGACAGAGAAACTCAGCCCAGTCCTTAGTTCTAGAAAGGAAGAAGTACTTAAGGACTTGCTTACCATCAGGAGTGCCTGGGGAACTCAAAAGCCTTGTGAGCGTGGCTCTGTCTGTCGTGGGTGGAGAGCTGGCACAGAAAGGCAGCAGCAGCAATGAGCAGAATCAATCAGCTCAGCACCACCTTTTGCATCTTTTTTCTAAATTTACATTGGCAAAAGTAAACCTGAACCAATCCCTGCCCTTTTGTCACCAGCCTTCTTACATCTATTCTGTTGGAAAACAAATGAAGTATTTTTGCCTTTGTGCTTCGAGAAAACACTTTTCTTGGTGAGCAATCAGATATTCGTGAGCTTTGGGGGTATAGCTCGGGTGGGGAAGGGGGGCAGTGTCACAGGGCAGCTCCTGGGGCTGTGTTCTGTGGCCACCCTTGATTTTGGATGCCCAGCACTGAGGTTTAATACTGCAGCAGCACTGGGTGCATGCTGTGCACGTGTAAGGGCAGGGGTTCCCCTGGCTTGTTTTTCAGGTGTTGGCATCTCAGGTGGGGCCGGAATTCCTGGGGTAGGGAAAGAGATTGCTCTGTGCCTCATGTTCCTCCCTGTAAGGCAGGTACTGGCAGTTCTGACTCTGGAAGAGCAGATTTCCATGGCTGCAGGCACTGTTGAAAGAAGCCCCGTGCTGGGTGTGGTGGGAGGCTGCATGTTTCTGCTTGTTCTGGGCTAATGTGTAATTTCTAATCATAGTCTCTTATGTTTCTTTACTTAAATTATCACTGACATCAAAACAGTGATTGACTCTAGAGCCAGGCAGTGTCTTACCTGTTAGTTCTCTGTTCCAGAAGGTGTGTCATCTCCGAGTTGCTCCTGATGTCATATGTGACAGGCAGCCAAGATCCTCCTTAAGGAAGGTTTTTGCTTTTGCATAAGCCTCTGAGCTCGGGCAGCTGCCTGGCAGCCCCACACAGGCAAAGCCAGCAGCAGCTGTGTCCCACAAGCTGCTTCACTCCAATTAGAGCTGCGGGGTCCCCCCCAAATGCCATCTTACATGGTCAGAGGTGTCTTGGCTTCCTGTCACAGCCCCACAGAAGCAAAGCATGTGTTCCAAACTCCATTAGGCAAAGATTAAGCAAGGTAACAGGAGGAAGCGGGGGAGCCTGCTAGTGTCGACCTGTCCAGGCTCCTGTAGAGGAAGGAAATGATTTTGCTGTGTCAGCAGCAGTGGACACAGGTGGTGGTGAGCTGCTGCCACCTGCAAGGTCTGGTGCAGCACTGGGGTGGCTGCCTATGCCGGGTTTTCTTTAGGGAGCTGACTGGCTCTACTCTGCAAACCCCCCATGTCTGCAGCTAAGGGCAGGAGGGTTGTGAAGGCAGCTCTGCTTGTTTAAGAGAAAATACTCAGGCTTCAATTATGGCTTCACGTTCCTGTGATCACAGCAGCACCATCTCTGTAGATTTATTGATGCCACCACCCCACCTGTGTGCCATGCTTCATCCCATTCCCCCACACCCACCTGGTGTTTCACCAAGACTGAGCTGTAAAGCAGGAATCCTGGCTTGGGCCCAGAGCAGGAGCTCACCCTGAAGGGCTCTGTGTCTGAGCCTGGTCCTTCCCCCAGTCTGTCTGATTTCTCCAGGGGATTTTGGTGACCAGCCCCCAGTTCTGGCAGTGCTACCCCTGCCATGGGCCTGGTGCAGCACGGGATGATGGCAGCTTCTCTCCCAGCTGGGTTTTTAATGGTAAAGCCACGGGCTCTGTCCTCTATGAGCCAGTGGCACCTGTGCTGCCCCATTCCCCATCAATGTCCCTTCCTTGCAGGCCCTGGTGTAAAATGCCCTTTCTGACTGGTACTACTCTGTTGTCACAGAATCACACCATGAGAACACCCACTTGTGAACTGGTTTGGGTTTTTTAAATATCTCTATTTTTTTTAGCCTGATGCTCATAGTGATCTGCAGTATCTGCTGCCTTCAAGTTCCTTGTGGTTTCAGTTTTGGTACAAATGTGTTTAGATTTTAGCAAATTAAAGTTGGGGGGAGGGGGTACAGAGCATCTGATCAATTTGTATTTATTTATTTTAACATTTTACTAAATAAAACACAGTAAAATCTCTTGTCTCCTTAGCTGTATGTACCAGGTGGGGACAGTGGGTCCCACAGGCACAGCGGTTGTAGCAGTGCCCACAGCAAGTTCCCAGCCCCAGGAGGGGTTTCTGAGCATGGCTCTGTGCGAGGGCTGTGTAACTCCCTGGCTCGTTTTCTTGGCAGGGAGAGGGCACTACGTTAGGAGAAATGAATTTTAGCTCCAAAAGGGGCTATGCTCCGTTCAGACAATCTCCTTGGCTCAGACTCTGTGGGTGCCTCCCAGCTGATGCTGCCCGGCAGAGGGCATATGGAGACCAACCCAAGCTGGGCTTACTTCCAGGTGCCTCCACCCTTGCAGGAACATTTTGGGCTAGGGACTGTCTAAGCTGGCAAGAATTATCTGAAAATGATGGTGTACAGCCCTCCTGCTACAGGCATACCAGCACACTTTCCAAAACAACCACAGAGCCAGCATTTCTATTGCTTCCTATCTACCAAAGAATCATCTGGAAGAGGCCTGCTCCATCTCAGCACTGCTCCACCGTGGCTCTAGCATTGTCTAGATCTGATCTAACCCTCTGATCTTGCCTAGTGCAGCAGCAGCACAGTATCAGTGAGCTTGGGCTGTATTAAACAAAAGCTGCCTGCTAGGCAGCTGTGAGGTGGAGCTGCACTCAGCTTCACAGTGATGAGCAATGTCTTCAGAGCCCTTTCCCAAATAAAGCCTCAACACTTGCTCCTGGCAAACCATCCTCGTCCTCCCCCCTGCAGATGCGAAGCTGGAGTCTCGTGGAGCCTCAGAGCCAGCTTTTATTCCCAAGAGTCAAGTCAAGGCTCTCAGGGACAAGCTTCAGCACTGCCACATGAAACCACATCATCTTCTCCTTGGGTGTGATTAAACTGACTGTGTGCCTAAGCCATGATGCCCCAGGCTCCAGTTCAGGGGTGCTGGCTGTGCAGACAGGCTGCCTGGGGCCCGCTGCAGCACAGGAACCATCAGCAGCCAGCATCACCAGCCCTTTCAGAGCTGGCAGGGCACCTGTGTGCCTTGGGCTATTCCTACATTGTTCTCCTCCTGCTGCCTTCCCTCCAGAGGACACGTGCAGGCTTACAGCAGAAAAAAATTAATAACCAGGCAGTTATAACAACAATGTGAAAAAGAATAAAAAAGCTTTAATTTAAAAATTAAATTAAAAAGAGAGAATAAGCAAGAGGCGTTTGTGCCCTTTCCATACCCCGCACTTTCTACAGTTCCTCTTAGCTGCTCCCACCATGGACGGAAATCCTCACTCTGTACAGAGCTGGCCCTTGCAGCCCAGAGCAAAGCTAAGAAGAGAACAGTGAAGACTGCAGCAGCAACTGGCCTGGAGAGCCTCCAGGGCCACCAGCAAAATCATCTGGGAAGAAGAAAAGATTAAAAAAAAACCCGGACACCCTAATTACTGACTTCTTATGAGAAAAGTATTAAATAATTTAAATAGTGTGAGGAAAGCAATGCATCCTCTGTGCTCCAGTGTGTGATAGCGGTAGAACAGTGTCCAGTCAAGCTACTCCCAGCATGGGGTTCCTGCCATAGTGATCAGCTACGGTCTTGTCCAGTGTCAGCCATGTCCCTGATTGTTGATGGCAACAACTGTGCTGCCGAGAGCTGGGGAGCAGCAGGGTGGTCCCCACGGGGAACTTCTCCCAGCCTATGCTGGCCCATGAAGCTGCTGTTCTGCCCACGGTGGGGGGGTTGGCAGCCCTGTCCTGTGGGGCAATACCAGCACAGGACAGGGTCTGTCACCAGCATGGCTGCTGCCAGTTGGAAGGTGCAGGTCCATCCTGGGAGCTTACTGCTGGGGACAGGGGACAGCCCATCCTGTTCTGGGAGCTCATCCTGCACTGGATGACTCCCACACCACCTGTATGGGGCCAGCTCCACTGGAGACTATATCCATACAGATAAGGAATAATATTTCCCCCCATTAACCAGTCAGTCTTGATCTGGGTTTGAACCAAGGCTCCAGCTACTCACAGTACTCCCTGGCTGCTCCTCCCAGGGTGCTGGGAGGTTTCCTCTGAGCCTGCTCCACAAAGAATGTAAAGGGTTGCTCTACAACCTCATCTCCAACTCACCAAAACCCCGGAGGGGTGTGTGGAGGACTAAGACCTGGGACCATTGAGCAGAGGCAGAACAGGGTAAGGTACAGCTCCCAGATCTCTGGAGAAGCCAGGCCTCAAGGTGAGGTAAGCTAATATCAGCTAAAAGAAGGAAGGGAGGAGACCCCACCCCTGGCCCCAGGCATGGGGAGGTTCCCCTGTAACACAGGAAGGCTGCAGCAGCTTGACCTGCAGGCACTGGCTGTTCTTGCAGCTGATGTCTTCCATCTTATCTACAGGCATCCCTTTGGTGGGGGCTGGAGAGGCTGTGCTGCCAACTCCGTTCCCTCGGGCTGGGCTGCGGCGGTGGGCAAGGGGCAGGAGGGAGGCCTTGCACCCTCCCTTCTCCAGTGTGCTGCTTGTACCCCACATCCCCTGTCCCCAGGCATCACAGGCTTCTCTCAGCAGTGAGGTATTTGAGTGCAGCAGCCCCGTATCGCCGTGACAGGTCCTGGTGGAACTCCTCCCGCAGTGTCTGGAGGCAGCCCCGGTACCCGGCACTCAGGCGAAACTTGGAGATGTCGAAGCTGGGGGCATGGGGCATGTGGATCATGAAGGCATTGGGCAGGACCAGCAGCTCATACTCCTGGGGACAGAGCAGCAGCCCTTACCTTCAGCAGCTCGGTGGTACCAACATGTCACTGCCCAGCCACGAGCCCCCAACACCCAGGGCCTCCACGGTGCCAGGAGCCCCTCACCCACCTGCGCATCCAGCTCCATGATGTGGGAGACTTTGTTCCAGCCGAAGCCCACGAACCTCTGGTCATACCTGGGGCAGTCTCGCCTCACTACAACGTAAGGCTCAAAGTCTGGCTGCCAAGCCACGCGGTAGGGCACGGTGGCCGTCCGCCATTTGGCATAGTCCGTTGGGGCGTGGCCCTTTGGCCACACGTGGTACCTGTGGGGAGAGATGGAAATGAGACACTGAGACAGTAGAGGATGCAGGGGGTCTGCTACCCTCCCCAAGACAGGGGGTGCACAGCCCCAAGGCACAGGGATACACAGCTGGCTTCTGCTTGGATGGCTACCTTGGATCCCTACCTGAAGGTGTAGAGGGAGCCCATGTCCAGCATGGAGAGCAGCTCTGCTTTGGATTTGGGAAAGGTCAGACGGTAGTGCAGGGTCTCAAAAGCTGGCACAATGAGAGCTGCCTTCCTCTGGGGCAGCTCCAGCTGTTGGATGGAGTTCCTGTGGTAGTAGGAAGAGTGTGAGATCTCCCTGACTGTGAGGCATGGCCACAGCCTCTTTCCTCAGCCCTTCCAGCCTGCCCACCACTCCACGCAGGTATTAATGGGTTTTGAGAATTTGCAGTGGTACCATGCAGGGATAGGAGGACCAGGGCAACTCTCACAATCACAGCTCCTTCCTCATTCACTGGTGTCTGACAAAAGTAAGGGCAGCACCCCAAGGCTGAACACAAAGGAAACTGTTTCTGCATATTGAGAGCTGCTGCTCAGAGCATTTCCTGAAAACTCTGGTGCTGGGGGAACCCAGCAGGTTGAGCAAGAGCCAGCTGGAAAAAGCCTTACCTGAGGTAATCGTAGAGGCCATACATAGGCAGGAAGTCGATGTCCGTCAGGAAGACGTACGGTGTCTGCGTGTTGGCCAAGGCCACGTTGCGCAGGAGGTTGATGGGGTAGAACTGCCCCTCCTTGTAGACAATGTGGTAGGCGACGTTGCGGCGGGCGCTCAGCACCTCCGAGGCCTGGGCGTAGCGCAGGAACTGCTGCGCCTCGGCGTCCGACATGTACAGCGCCAGGCTGATGGGGCCTGCCCAGTGCTTGCAGATGGCCTCCAGCATCTGTAACCTGGGAAGCAGAGGGCACAGCCTGAGCACACACCTGCCCTGTGGCAGCTTCTGAGCCAAACCCAGAACCGGGCACCTCCAGAGAGCCACGTGTCAGTCACACCCGGTTCAGGAGGGAGCAGGAACAACTGATGTTCCCAGCTTGGAGTGTAGTTCTTCACTGCCAAATGCTGGCATGAGAATGATGCAATGAGATTCCCTGGTAGCTCCAAAGCTGTGGAGCCTGCCCAGAGGAGTGGAGGTGGGTTCCAGCTTCCCACCAGTCCTAATAGCAAGTACCTGTCCATGGAGAGCTGGGCCACGAGGGTGACATCGGTGGGGTTGGGCAGGGCCAGGAACTCGTACTGCAGGAAGAACAGGTGGATGCGGTGCTGCATGAGGTGCTGCTGGCGGAAGTCATAGCAGGGATCGTCCTCATCCAACTCTTCCAGTGCCTGCTGCAACTGCAACACCATGAAGGTGAGGGAGAGTAGGGACCCCAGGGGAGGTTCTATGAGGTCTCTGCCCACTCTGGGGTTGGGGGCAGAGTCACAGTCAGCCTCACCTGGTCCCTGGGTGGGCTGGGAAGACTGGCACAGCCAAAAAGCTCCCTGCGCAGCAGGTTCCCATCATACTCCAAGAAGGTCAGGTAGAGGTTACGGAAGAACTCCACATGCTTGTTCTTCACCCGCAGCTTCTTGGGCGAGTTCCAGTGGATCACCTGAGCAGTGGTGGGTCACCCCATGTAAGGGAAGTCAGCAGCACCAGGCTCCCCAAGCCCTCAGACCCCATGCTGACTCCCCTGGACCTCTAGGGCCTGCACTGTCCTTCAGGCCCTCGCCAGTCTCAAAAGCAACAACCCCACCCACCTTGAGATCTGAGAGCTCAGTGTAGCACTGCTCTGAGCGGGTGTGGTCAGAGAGCTGCACATTCCAGAAGCAGGGAAGCCGGTACACCAGGGATGGGTCCTGCTTGATCACAGCATTGAAGATATCCTAGGAGAGAGAAAGTGAGTGCACGGGTGTAAGAGGAAGATCCCCAGTGCCAGCAGTGCTATGGGAATGCAGAAGGACCATCCTGCCCCAGAGCAGGGACAGTTACCTGATCAGCCAGCGAGGTGGAGAGCATGCTCATGAGCTCCCGCTCCGCTGTCAGCCGCCACATCTGCTCCCAGCCCAGGCGACGCAGGCGGTCCAGCAGGAGCAGGATCACCCCTGAGTGCCAGGGAGAGGGCATGGGTCACTGAGAGAACACCCAACCACTACAGAACAGAGGCACAGCTGCCTGCATGCCTTCAGGCCCTGGGACATTCCACTTCTCTATGCCCGCCCACACAACCCTGGGATGCTGAAGCAGTCCTCTTGTGCCCACCACTTTCCTACTTTACCTCAGCCTCTCCCAGTCCCCCTGTGCCAAGTGCCACCTCAGCTGCATGTGCCATGAGGCTGCACCTCCCACCCGGCAGCCCACACTCACCCGTGTTGAAGCCACGTCCCAGGGCTGGCCACGGTTTGTGGTTTTTCCACAGGTTGCCTAAGTACCAGTCACTTTGATTCTCCACCAGCCCAATCACCTGCTTTTCTGAGGAAACAGAGGGACATGGATACAGCTCATCCTGCTGTAGGGTCAGAGAGCCCAAGCAAACCCACTGTGCTGGTGCTGTGGCAGGCAGGCACTGCCACCCTGAGCCCAGCATCCAAGGCCCTGCCAGGGCCCCAGAGGCACCCTGTCCTCACCAGAAAACTTTCCGAAGACAGCCCAGAGCTCAGCAATGTCGGTGGCAAAGGTGATGTCCGTGTCCAAGACAATGACCTTGGAGAGGTTGGAGGGTAGTGCCTTGGTAAGAGTCAGCTTCATCAGCCCATAGATGCCAGAGTAGTGCTTGTTGGGGATCCACGACACCTCTGGCTGCAAGGCAACACACCTCAGGGCTGGGCATGGCTATGCCCTTTCCCTTCCCAGGCAGGACAGCTGCATGTCCTGGCACCCTGTGCAGAGGAGGCCAGTAACAGAAGGGCATGCAGAGCTGTGGAGCCAGCCAAGCCTGGAGCATTTCCTCCAGCCACCAGAACCCCCAGCTGACCCCAGTGTCTCACTGGGGCACTCGACTCTGCCACAGAGGCACTGCTACTACAAGGCACCTCCCCACCCTGCCAGTACCAGCTTTGTGCTCCTCTCTCAGCAGCACCAGCAACAAGCCCAGAAAGAGGAGAGGGTGAGCCAGGGATCAGCAAGAAAAGTCAATCACCCTCTATCCACTCGTCCCTCTCTGCTGTTCTCCTTGCCCCTCTAAGCATTGGCTTGGGACAGGGCAAAGGGAGGGCAAGCACCTGCCTTCAAGTCATCGGCATTGTAGAAGCTGACGTGGACAGAAGGCACCATCCAGGACTGGAAGAGCGTCTGGAGGATCTGGTGGGCCACTGAATCCGTGATGAAGTGAAAGTGGAGGGGGTTTTTCCTGCCAAGGGCAAGCACAGCAACATTTAGCATCATAGCAGAATGAAGAGGGCACAGTCTCCCATCCCTCCTGTGGGACAGACATAAGCTGAGAGGGCAAATGGAAAAAAAAAAACCCTCTGGGGGAAACAAACTCCTCTCTGTCCCTCTAAGCAGTGGCACAAGGGGTAGAGAGAGGTTCCAGAGTCCCTCTTCTGCAGCACTGCCCTGCTGCAGCCTGTAGAACCCCAACCAGCAGGCCTCTGGCACAACATCTCCCCATTACCTGTGGAAGAGGATGGATTTCACCAGGGTCACCACGTCCCGGCTCGCATTGTGCCCAGCACACACAATCGCGACGTGAAGGAGCTGCCCAAAGACAAAAGGTGCCTTCTGGAGAACGGACACTCCCTCCTTGCAGGGGCTGTCAGCTCCTCCATGGGAGCACACTACAGGGAGAAGTTTCAAAGCCCAACCTTTCCCATGCAGAAGGAGCCCCAAAGAGAGGTGGGAGTTCCCTAACTCAGAAGTGGGGAGCAGGAGTCATGCTGCCACTCCTCCTGTCTGGTCTCCATCTCTGAACAAGGAAGACACCCTCACCCACTGAGCATCGTGGAGAGCCAGGATGAGGCCCCAGCATGGCCAGAGCACAGGGAGAGCAGTGTCAGATGAATTGCACATATATCCATGCTCCACAGGGCCCCAGCCTCCCATCTGACATTCCCTATCCACACTGCCAATGTGCTGGTGCCATCACCCACCTCACACTTGTGCACTGTCCGCTGCTTGGGGCAGGCCGTGTGGTTGCTCCTGTTGCCCCCAGGGGGGTCTCTGTCCTCGGCTGAAGCCCCCCACTGCGGGCTGCCATCACTGCCCTCCGCCTGAGCCTGGCCCAGCTGCAGCCGGAGCTGCTGGTTCTCCTGCTCCACCCTGCGCACCCGTGAGGCCAGCGCCTCCCGCTCCACATCCCGGCTCGCCTGCTCGCCCAGACACGGCGGCAGCAGGAGGAAGCGGCCATCTGTGGAAGACACAGGGGAAGGCAAAGGGCATGGGCAAGGCCGGCAGAGCCATAACAGAGATTCCAGCACGCCTCACAAGTGCTCGGCCAACATCTCAGCTCTGATCTCCTGGAGATGTCCTCAAGTCAGGTACACCTGCAGTGACTTGCATGGCCAGAGCAACCACGCCAAGGCCTAATCCCCCCTGCCCACCCTCAGTTGTGGACTGTCCCTGGATCTGAGGAGGACGGGAAGGACTCACGCACATTCGAGGCTGCCCACAAAGAGGTAGAGCCAGGAGAGGAGAATGGCCAGGGTCACTGTGGCGAGCAGCAACTTCAGCTTCATGCGCCAGGAGCGCAACATGATGTGCTGGCAGGACATGGGCAACAAGGATCAGGTGGGCAACCCGAGTCCGGCTGGCCCTGGCATCCTAGAGCCTGTGAGGACAAGGGAAAAGAGAGAGGTGTCACCAGCAGCTTGCACCCAGGTGTGCCAACATCTCCCCAGAAGGACGTCCTCCATCACCTACTCCCTCCAGGACAGTACCTGGGCAACTGAAGCAGCGAAACAGACGCCCATTACCTGCCCATGATGGAAATTTACCCCCCCAGACTTGTCCCACCATCCAGACAGGACTGCAGAGCCTGTGGGGGGGATCTCAAACATGGAGGGTAATGGGGATAGGAAGGAAATAGGGTTTCCAAGAGATTTTTACCTCAGCTCTGTGCCTCGCTCCCTGCCATCCCCCGGGCCTAGGGCTGACGGAGGAGAGGAGAGGTAATAATGCTAAGGGGCCCTCCCGAGCCTGCCCGTGGGAGGGGCGCGGTGCCTCCCCCGCCGCCTCGGCTGGAGCGGGGCCAGGCAGGGCCGGGGGGCTCGGGAAACTCCCGCACCCAAGCCCGCCCGCCCACTTCGATGGGAAAACCCCAAACACTTCGGGGGAAGCCGCTCCCCGGCCGCACTGGGACACCTCCTCAGGCCGCCGCGCCTCTGCCAGGCGTGTTGGCCGCTCTCATTGCTCCGCCGCCGGCGGACGCTGCCCCGACGGGCAGAGCCCTGCTCGGCCCCGGGGCCCCGCGGAGCCAGGTGCCCGGGCAGGCCGGGACTCCGCGGGGAAGGAAGGAAGGAGACGCCTGGCTCGCCGCAGCCTGCCCTGGTCCGCACCCCTGCCCGCGGCTCCGCGCCCTCGGCGCAGCAACATCTGGACAACAAAAGCTGCCGTCGGGCTGAATGGGCCGGATTAGGGTCTGCTCCCCCTGCACACAGCCCGCTGGAGCCCATTGATGTGCAGATGCCCATGGGGCCGCGGGGGCTGGAGCCTAGGAGAACACACACCGCCCCCTCGACCCTCCCCGCGGCCCCTGGGGCCGGGTGCAAGCTCCAGCCCGCTGGAGGAATTGCAGATGGATGGCCCCATGCACCCTCAGTGAGGGATAGCCAGGCTCTACAAGGGCAGGGGCATGGCCACGCCAGCCCACTGGAGATACTGAGCTCCCGTGGCAGTAGGCACAGCCCCTAGGGAGAGCTGCACCCCTTTTCATGGCAGAGAAGGGTCTACTGGCATCACAGCTCCCTGCTAGCCAGGCCCGGGCTTGACTTGCTTTGTGCTCTATAGAGCACAGGCACGGCAGGGAAGGGGGAGCTGACACATGGAGCACGCCAGGCCCAGGCACCGCTTCTCTGCCACAGCCACGGGCCATGCTGGACATGGCGAGGTCTCCACATGCTGCTGCCAGCCTGTCTCCCATCCTGCATGCCGAGGTTCACACAAAGTTGGAGGGCTGTTCAGGCCAGGCAGGAGGGGGATGGCAGGGGAGCACGGTGAGGCAAGGCCAGGGAGGTCAGCCAGCACCCAGCATTCAGGGAAGCTGAGGGGCAGGGAAGCAACTTTAGCACAAAGGAGAGAGAAGATGATGGCACACTGCTCCCACTTGCCCCCATGGCCCCTCACTGTAGGAATGGTACCCAGTCCCCAGCCTGCATGTGAACACACTACTAGGGTGGCAATTCTGCGGGACCAGATGGGACCAGCAGCAAGTCACTTTTCAAAACCTCTTCCAGAGGCATGCAAGGATCCATCCATCCCCCACCTCAGAGCACCCCTACCCCTCCTACCACCCCTTGTCCTGCTCCTTACCTGGCTGATTGCCTTCCCCCCAGGCGCTGATTTCCTTACCTGCCTCTCCCCTTGCCTCCTCCTTTCCCGGCGCCTCCCAAGCCGGCTGGCAGCCCAGTGCTGCTGCTCCCTCCCGGGGCTGCCGTTCCCCGTCCTCCCTTTACTCCTCCCTTCTAGATCTGACACTTTCCCCCTCCTCCCTGCTCTCAAACCCAAGCTCCCCCCGCACACCCCGCCGGCCCCCCTTTCAGAGGAAGAAAGAACAAACAAAACAAGAGATTAAATTCGCTTTCTACTCAAGAGCCCCCAGCGCCAGGGGCATAGAGTTGCCCAAAGTAAATTGGGAGGAATCTGTCTTCCTTCCAGCCCCCCTTCCCACTCCCAGGCCTCGATATCCCTCCCACGGAGTGAAAAAAGGAAGCATCAGGATTATCTACCCCCTCCCTAGCACCTGCCTCCTCCTTTATTGGGGCAGGTGCAGAAGACTTTGTCCTCACTGAGAGATCTTTGGGGGCTTCAGGATGGTGGCAGAGCCCACCTGTTCTCCCCATGACTGGCAAAGAGCAGCTCCACAGCCTACCTGGGATGCAAATATGGCGAGAGTGGGATGCAGACCTTGTTGCTACCCAGAGCAAAGAGATATTGGCCACCGTCAGAGCACTTGCCCATCAGCTGAGCAGAGTGCAAGCCCCACAGTGGATCTGAAAGGGAAAGAACTGCTCCCCTGCTGTCTCATCCTTGTTCTGGCCCAGAGGAGCAGGGCACACTGAAAGGGTGCAGTGTTCAAGCAGACCTGTCCAGCGCCCCAGGAGTCAGCAGGATGGTGGAAGGAGGAGCAGGAGGCCGGGGCTGGGAATGCTAACTATGCAGAGAGAGGCTCTACCTGCAGCTCCCCCCTCGCTCCTCGCCGGCCCCGGGGCTGGGCAGAGGCGGCAGCCCTGGCCCGGGGCTGGAGCAGGAGGAGAAGCCCCTGCCGGGGGTGTCCAGTGCCGCGGGCGGCTGGAGGGGGCTGGGTGAGCTGGGAGGAGGCCGGGAGCGGCAGCAGGCAGAGGGCTGGGATACGGAGCAGTGCTTGCACAGCACTCGGCTGCAAAGTGAATTACCCCCACCCCAGAGCCCCGGGCGAGGCGCGGCTTGCCCCGGCCTGCCCGCACATCCACAGCAGCACCCAGGTGGCTGCCCTGGGAGGCACAGTTACCTCCCTCCCAGGAGCTCGGGCAGCTCCTGCTCGGCCTTGCAGAGCCCCGGAACGACAGGCACTGGCTCCTCAGCAGCGCCCTTCAGCCCAGCCCTGCCCGGCAGGGAGAGGAAACGCCCGGGCTGCCCTGCTGCTGCTCTGAGCCGGCGGCTCCCCAGGGCAGGGGTGCTTCCCTTTGCTCCCCCAGCCGTCCCGGGGCACATGCTCAGCTCCCGGAGCCCTCCTGCCCTGCCCCAGGTACTCATCGTGTGCTCCAGCTGAGGCAGTGGCCACGCAGGGCTTACCCATGCTTTGGGAGCAGTCCAGACCTCCTGCAGCCCACTGCCAACAGCACCCGCTCCAGCAGAGGAAACCAACTCATGCTCCAGCTGACCTCCACAGCCTCTCCACACTTGTCCTGGACACCATACCTTGTTTGCTCCCAGCGCCAAGAGCGAGTGCTTTGAGACCCAGCCACGCTCTCTCCGGCCAGGGCAGGAACAGGTAGGGGAGCACAGGCATGGCGGGGGCATTTTTAGGGTGTTCATGGGGGTGAAGATGGCAAGCCAGAAGGCAGCTACACAGCCTCTCCTCCTCTGTGAAACATTAGAGGCACAGCAAGCGGAGGGCAAGGCTGGAAGCAGCTCCTTGGCAAGGGGCACAGTGGTGCCAGCAGCCATGGCACAGCACATAAAGCTCCTGGCTCTGGCCGTCCCTGCAGTCATGGCACAGGGCCTCTCCGCCCTCCCTCCTCAGTCTCCTTGCTCACCAGACAAGCACAGCCAGCAGTAAGACGAGAGGTTTCCCAATACTGCCTGCTTCCAACCCCAGCGCGGGTGCAGGGCAGAAATGCTGTTCACAGCAGGTTATCCTCCCTCCCCCACATTCTTCCCAGGAGCAAGCAGCTCCTACTTCAGCAAGCATCAGGGGACACAGCCACTGGAACAGAAAAAGACACTCCTGTCCCCCCTCTAGCTAGAAGAAGCTGACAATGGATACCCGGGAAGGGGCAGGCAGGACCCAGGTCTTGTCTCATGCCTGGGACACCCTGCCTCCATTGACAACAGGGCAATGGCCAGAGGACAGGGAATGTCACACCAGCAGAGCTGGGCAGCTGCACAAACACCAGTGCATGCTCACACCAACCTCTGAGGCGTGGGCAGGAGCCCAAAGCTGGCTGTATGCCGGCCACCCTTCCACGCACAAGCAACCATCATTCCTGGGAAAGTGCAGCCACTTTGCTTGCCCCAGGCTCCCCCTGAGAGCTGCCCATGTGCTGGCACTCCATTCCTCCAAGATCCACTCTTGCAGGAAATCTCCTTTTCTTTTTAGGCCCCATTGCTCAGCCTGAATGGCCTTCGCTCTCTACGGCTCAGTAATAATCAGGTGAGCAGTTAATGTTTAGGGAAAGCTGGCAGTGGAAATTTTGCCATCACACTACCTTGTTTCCCCCAGCCCTGCAGGCATAGAGGGGAGCATTTCTGTTTTCCCACAACATCACATTTGGCAGTAAGGCCCATGACAGGGTGGGTTTCTTAGCCTGTTGTCTCTTTTAGAGTTAATGTGTACCTGCAGAGGGATGCTGAGGCACAACTACACTGTCTGTGGGTACCAAGCCAGGAGCCTGAAGGGACACAAGGACAGCCCCAGGCTTGCTGCCACCTCTACTGCCTCCCCCACAAGCATTACGAGTGAAGAGGTAGCCTGACTGTTCCTGGTAAAGAGCTGCAGAGCAGCCAGGACAGGAGTGATTTCATGGAGCTATAGTGCCTGTTGTCTTACCTAGCTGCAGGTGACAGATTTCAGGTGCAAATTCTTCTCCAGATCTCATTTTGGAACAGTGACAGTTTAGCTGAGCTGCTTGACTGCCTCAGTAGAAGCCCAACACAACAGCTTCCCAGGTTTGCAGAAGGTGAGAAAGGGCCCGGAAGCTGTGACAAGGACTGCACAGCCAGACTGGCAACTCAGAAAAGGCACCACACTTTGAAGAGAGGCAAATGGGGACAATTGCTTCTGCTCTTACAAAGAGATGGGAGGGGACAGGCTGGTTCCTCATTCAGCAGATCACCTGCTGAATGTGTACAGCAGCACCCATCTGACAAAGTACCTTATGATTCAGGGTCACCTCCCTGTCCTGCTCCCCA